GCCAATAGGGCTTCTGCATTTGCCTTTACTTATTATGTTGTTATTGACACACGTTCTTTGAAGCCCTAAATAATGTATACTCGATTCATGTTTTAGTAAATTACATGTACATATATCTAGTTATTCAACACAAATACTATAGTGAATAAACTAAAAAGTGAAGTAACAATTTTAGAAATGTCCAAGGTCAGCACTGGAGTCCTCTGCCACATGCAGCTGTGTCAGCAAGACACTAGGTCTAGCGCCGACATATCCCGACAGATCCGGCTGAGTGCATCACCCACCAATCGCCTACAGCTCACCTCCTCAGTAAATATGTAGATAATTACACAATTTCTGTTTTTCCTTAGATTTTCCATTTAAATAATCATTCTACAAGTCGTTTTTCCTTTTTTTTTCTTTTCACATAGGAAGACATGCATGAATATCTGTAGCTGCACTTTAAGGGTTAAGTGTTCACTATTCCTAATTTACCTCTAATAATCAGTAAAGTGCATCAATGTCAGGAATGCAAAAAGGCTCACTTATCACCTCAAGACACTGATTCCTACAAAAAGGTTCTCACTGCTTGATAAACAGAACACAGCAAGCTACTACAGGTTTCCAATAGAAAAAGATGTGCACATCAGATATTGATGTACAGTATTATGAACAACTTTTATGAAGAAAGATTTACGAATTGCAGCTTTGGCGTATTTTCTTAATATTTATATAGCTTTCCCTTTTTGCCTTTGTATTGGCATATAATTCTTAAAATATATGTAATGTGTCTAACAAGATTTAAATGAAATGCTCACCTTAATATATGTGGATTGTATTATACAATACGCAAAACTATTTTTCTCCCATTTAATTTTTTCCTGAAAAAATCAGACAAGAGAGAAAGAAGCAGTGCAAGATGATTAAGCATATTCTAAATCTTAGTAACATTTGGGCCAAGCAGTTAATTCAACTACACTTCCTCAAGAAGGAATTTAGAGATAAGAAAAATTAATTTTATATTTTAAAGAACACTGAAGCACAATATAAAAGCTAATCTTCACCATTTCTAATTTAAATAAGATAATATTAACTGAATAGAATGATGTGTTGATCCCAGTCTCTCGAAGGTTACGTAGTTATACCCAGGATTACATACAACTATCTAAAGAGTTTGGCAGCTTCTTTAACAATGTAGAGAAACAGCAAGATGAGAGTCGACTTTGTAAATAATGTTTCACCTGTAAGGAAGTCATCAAATTAACAGAAACACATGGGTTGGTGCTTCCAAATGGCACAAACAGGGAAGGCGAGGCAAGTTCAGCAAAAATGAGAGGCGAGGAATTGTGAATAAATTGATATTTATTAAATATTAATTTAGCAAGAGGGGAAGCTATGTTGAATTTTCCTCCTGTTTGATGATGATGTAGAGTTTAATGGCTGCAGACTATACATTACCTCCAATAATTTTCATGTTTCACAATAAGTTTAGCATCCTTACAGCACCATCAGAGTTAGTTTAGTTCATTTATTATGCACCCCATACCCATCCTGTGGGCTGTAGTGGAAAGGGTTACAGAGGCACATAATGGGCTCAGGGACTGAACCCCACAATTCATTTAGCCATCAAACAGAACGAGAGAAGATTACATATTGCCAACTCCACTTACCAAATAAATACTTTACATACAGTACTGAATATCAATTCATACAATTCCTCGTGTCCCTCGACCTCACCTTGCTTATCTTAACCCACCCAACCATCCCGTGTTTTGCCCTATAATAAGCCAAAGTCTTGTGTTCACGTCACATTTGATGAAATCCTTATAGGCAAATATAAAATCTAAATTTAAGGTCTATTCTAATCTTTGCATTCTCTACATTATTATCAATACTTTGTGCTCTTCACTACCAATTTTTTAAATGTTTAAGAACAGACAATCTCATTCATCAAGAGGGCTAATAAATGACTTGGTCTTTAAACTTACCAACGATAGCAACTGAAGCAAGTCCTTGTAGTAGCACACAAGTATTGAGATTTAATAAAAAAGTAAATAGCAAATAGTATAAAAAAAATGGAAATAATGTAAACATATATCCAAGAAACAAATCATTACACTTGCAGGAGATAAGGCATACTATGAAATACTTATGGAAATTATGCTCTTCATATTTATTAAACGTATTTCATTCCAACAAAATTAATTTAAAGGGTTGCAACAAGCCTCTCAAAAACTTAATATATATAATTAAGCTTTTGTTGCTTGATAATGAAAAAAGCAAACTTTGACTTGAAAGCTTTATAATTATCCAAGCAGCTTACTGTCTCCATTCATTTAATTTGATTAATTTGATTAATTGGATTTGTAATACTAGAATATCATTGGCTATCAACCAGATGTTTAACCTCAACAATGCTGACTAATCAGTCTCTCACTCTCTCCCTCTCTCTCATGCTTCTAATCATTCCTCTTATCTTTCATTGCACTAATCTTTATCACCTGTGGCCTAATATTTGACCCACATTTTATACAAGCTGCCATATTTTGAGCCTATACTACATTGTACATGTTTCTGTAACTCATTATTTACTGTCATGAAGAAATGGCATGTTGGCAAGCAATCTAAATCCATTTTAAATTAGATCCTTGGTACAAGGGCCATATGTTCAAAGTCTAAATACTGTATTAATGAAGTTGGAGGTATACAGTTCAAGTATGTTTATTGAGACAAGAATGAAATATGTCTCAAAGGGATAGAGTAGCTTAGGCTATTTCTACCCCACTATATTAGGTATACAGTGAAGAGGGGGAGTGCAGGAGGAAGGGGAGGAGCAGGAGAAAGGGAAGAGGGGAAGAAATTGCAGAAGAAAAAAAGTTGGGAGAGGTAAAGGAATAGATGGGGGGGGGGGAGAGAGAGAGAGAGAGGAGAGAGAGTGGGGGGATGGGTACCGAGTAGAGAAGGGGAGAGGAAGAAGAGAATGGGGAAGAGAGGTTGTATGATTTTCAAAATCTGACCCGATTCTATTCACACAGGCCTGGCACCCCAAATATATAGTGCGCCATCACACTTGCCAATCATAGTTATCTTTATATTAGGCTCCGATACATGTGGTAGTTACAACGAATGTTGAATAATTCTCCAGATGCTTAAACTACACTATGAAAGCATTTGAAATTCCTATAAAATAAAATGTTTGTCCTACTGTGTGTAGCATGTATTATGTGACACAGCTGACTGGAGGTAGCCTGAAACTATTGTAGCATTAGCTGCTCAAACATCAATAATGTTATCCTTAATGTGTTAGATATTTTGAATCTCATAAGAAGCTGCATTTTAAGCTGTTATTATGCCAACATTTATATCAAGAGAGAGAGAGAGAGAGGAGACGTACAGAGATAGACAGACACATTGTAACGAGGAGATGAAAGGAAGGCTACTTAATTCTTCAGAAACTTTATAATTATGTTATCCAGCCACTATGGAAATGTCTGAAATTCTGATATGAATATTGTTTAATGGTGTAACACAATTGGCAACTCATCTGCTGGGTAGCGTGGCCATTGCCAGCCACCAGCAAACTTCAGGGAGACTACACATTACCTCCACTTAACTTTTTCTATCACACCTTGCATCTTTACAAAATAAAAAATATTAAGTCACAAGAGCCTGGGAAAAGTAAATTTGAACATGAATATAACTTTAGTGTACTCAATAAGGGTGGAAATCAAGCATATTTGGAACGAAATATAACCCAAAATCCCACTGCAACCCTCCAAGTGTGCTCATTGTCATGTGTTGATTGTACTGTATATTGGAATGTGGTCATCATAAGAAAATTTACATTTTGTGTTAATGTCCAAATACAAATGCTGCAAATATGGTTCCAATAGCAGATTAGCACCACGGGGACCCCAAGAGCTCATTATAAACTCATGGAACTGCTTACTCACTGAAGCAATAAATGCCAAAATATTATTTCAAAATTCAGTTATAAAAAATACTTATGAACAATGGATGAGGGACTTTGACAAGCCATTGGCCATCTGTTCCTGTTCAGGCTAACAGAGATGGTGGGCCCTTACATAAAGTTGGGTTTATGCACATGCCTTATGTTTCAATATACTGAATATAAAAAAAAAATTTGTTTGGTCCTGGCTACCACCACATTGTAATGCTGATGAATACAGTACCAGGAATAATATTTTCCACTGCCACACCAAAATAAATGTTGATACGATTTTGTTTAATACTTTTAAACGCAGATCTTTCAGTAGATTTTTTTTTACTCGGCTAAGATGACAATTTTTGACAATAGCCATACTTTGAGGGTTAAAATTAGTACAATATATACTTTACCAAATACAGTAATCACAGCTTTTCATGTTTGATTTTGCTTTAACAAGAAATAAGGTATCAACAGCCTGTATAGAGGATCTTAAATTTAAATTTATTTTTTAAATAATTTTTTTAATAACTTGATTTAGAAAACATGATTTAAAAATGATTTAAAAAGCCTGCACTTCAATGTTCATATTCTATTTGTTATTACCTTGATTATAGTTAACTTAAAATACAGATAAATACAGCTTATTTTAAAGTACGCTATATTTCAATTTACAAATTAGCAACGCCGAAAATAACAAGACACTGCTTCTTGCAAAAAGAGGGATAAATCAGACATTGGGAAAAGCTGTAGAAAAATTTAAAAATTATAGAAAAACTGAAATTTTTGGTAAGTATTTGCCAAACAAATTCTTCATTGTAAGTCTCCCAAGTTTGCAAGCCAAAGGCTGCACTGCAGGATGCCAAAATTGTATAAAGTATTGCTAATGGTCAACATAAAAGAAAGGTTACTTACGACAAGATACCTTAAAACCAAACATGAATCGTGTTGATACACATGATAAAGTAAGCTTTGCCATACTTTAAAATCATCACTAATAACATTGGTTACAGCTGGTGAATGAATGACATATTTGAATGCACATATAGCCACAAAATAAAATATAAACACCAACCTGGATCTTTTGGGGGAAGTGGTCGTTGCTTTATTTCATCATATACGTGTTCCACAAGTCTGTTATCCTTTAAACTTTCAATAGAATGATAGATATTGAGATTTGGATTTGTGGCATCTGCTTCTAATGCTTTTACTCGAGCTTGTCTTTGTAGCGTTGACGGCACGTCATAGTGACCCCCAACAGCTCCTGTAACACAATAGTGTATTAGAACCAGCCAAGATACAGCAGTATATTGTTTTTAAGGATGAGGCTGAAAAAAGAAAAATGACATTTTATATTAATGTTTCAACAGTAAAGGAAAATTACACCAAGCTTCCTAAACACGAAAAAGTAAATTTGCAAAATCCCAATTTCTATCAACACACGATGCTGAATGTTTCAAACATTTCAGATCTAAGAACTGTTGAAGTAATTTCATATTCAAGGAAATGGAACTATCTTAAACAAGTTAAAGTAACCATTGCAGAAAAATTCATTTAAATTGCACACAACACTGAATATTTTCAAAGAATTACTAAATTATGGCCAATTTATTAAAGTTTATAATTTAGGGCTCATAACCTTGGCATCAATACACTAAAGCAAAAACCAGATAGAAGAAAGCCACCTATTAAAGAACGTGCAGTTCCCCTAATGTGTGACTTGATAGCGAGGTTCAAAATAATGTGCTGCCTGGGAGCTGGTCAGCCGAGTGGACAGCACGCTGGACTTGTGATCCTTTGGTCCCAAGTTCGATCCCGGGCGCCGGCGAGAAACAATGGGCAAAAGTTTCTTTCACCCCTATGCCCCTGTTACCTAGCAGTAAAATAGGTACCTGGGTGTTAGTCAGCTGTCATGGGCTGCTTCCTGGGGGTGGAGGCCTGGTCAAGGACCGGGCCACGGGGACACTAAAGCCCCGAAATCATCAAGATAACCTCAAGATAGCCACCTAAGGGTAGTAGCTCTGTCTGAAACAATAGTGTCCCAGCACAAATTATTGTGCCATGTACCAGTATTGCTAATTAGCATATACAAGAGTACAGAGGATGTTGCTTCAGTGATGGCTCAAGTTAGTCTCTCCACTGCACTGTCAGCCTTAGTCCCCCCCCCCCACGAGATGATTACTGATAGATCCTTGTCTTCCTGACTAAAGGGAGATTCCAAGGAACCTTAGCTCATAAAATATATTTTTCTACAATATTAATTTTTACAATGTGGTTGCCACAACCTTTGGCATAAGCCTAACAAGCCTTTTGAAGTTGAAAATTTTAAGCATTGGAATAAGTAAATAAGACTATAATAGACAACATTGCCTTTAGTTATAGACACCTCAATACTGACTTCTTCGTTCCAATGGTAACTAAGATGATCACTGATCAGTTGCAATGAAAACATGAAAACCTCCAGTAAGAGGAGTCCACATACAGTATTTTATTGTCTAATTTACAGTGCATAAAATAAATAAATAGAAATAATGTAATATTTTTATATAACCAAGTTATTTTTTTAAATGTGATTTTATCAAAATATGTAAAAAATTATATTCTAATATTTGCATTAAAAATTTTCAATAATTTGGGCATAAAAAGCTGGAAATGGCAAATTTCAGACATAATTGCAGTCATTTTGTAGTAAGAATAGTCTGCCAAAAATTATTCGCTTTTAAGGCGATTTCATTGTACGGTACATGCAAGGCCTAGAAATATAAAATTCAATCTAGACAAATACTATGCATCAATCTTGAAGATGGATATATTTGAGGTTTAAGATTCATTCTATGAGAATACATCCAAGACAGTGGCATAAGAATTATTCCATGCATGCACATGCACAAGCAGTGTAAAGGTTTTTGTGTGCAAAATACATTAAATGTAAAGATGAGTACAGTATTAAAATCTACTTTACCCCTTGTTTAATTTCAGCCATAAATACTGTACAGCCATTTAGATATCTAATACGAGTTTCAAATGTCTTAAAAGGACAATATGGAGGACAAAAAAGGACATTGCACATGGCAATTATTGAGTAATTTAGCAAGAATATTGTTGAGATACAGTATATCAAAAAAACCAACGTGCCAGAATAAGCATTTTGTATACAGTATGATATTTCAAACTGCCTTAAAACAGGTGCTATGGAGCTCACATATACGTGATCAATGGCCTAAACCCAGACGCAACTTTACTCTAGAACAATATTTTCGGATTTGCATTGCTTTGAAGTTTAAATTTATAAATATGATTACTAAAAACAAGGCGCAAAAAAAAAAAAAAAAAAAAAATTGTTTTAATCCATTTCAGGTTTACAAAATTTGCTGCAGAACTGTTTTGACGACACCATGATGAGAAAGACCAGACTCGGTTGCATGCACTACTAGAGGAAATTTCAAATTTAAAAGGTGTTCAAATAAAACTCCAATACAAATGAAAAGTCTGCCGAGTTGTGAATCGTGTGAACATTTCATCAAAATTGGATACAATCAATCAGAAAAAACTCTAAAAATTGGCATTTTGAGATTTGAATTTTCCCACCAAAAGAATACGAGTACCATGTCAGGTGCATCGGCATCCCTTTACTTACGCCCACTCTAATAACCATGTACATCATACAAAATTTCAATTCCTTTCATGGACCACAAATATATTTGTGATAAGGAGAAATCTATTATATAACTTGAAAACTATTTCTCAGAATGACATCAATATTTCTTTACATCATTACAGCCATACTAAAATAATGAATTTTTATATTTATGTCAGAAAGCAATGTTTTACAATGTACTGTAGTGGATTTTTTATTAACACTGACCAACAAATTTGCCCAATTTAGAGTGCACAGTTTAAATAATATATACAAAATGCTTATTCCGGCACATTGGTTTTGCTAATGTACTGTATCTTAAGAGCTTAGTTAGTATATGCATACTAAATTTTTAAATTACTTTTAAAAACGGCTGAATAGCCGAATAAATTATCCAAATTACAATGGACGCTAAAACTGGAAAATTAAACCTTGCAAAAAAAACTTTGAGTATTGTGTGAGCTTGGTTATCTGAAGGCCACCAAACCGAATATTTGTTTATCTGGCCAAAATCGCGTCTGGATAATTTTCTAACAAAACTTCACCATATCCGGACAGAAATCTGGATAACCAGAGATTAGGTTATATAAATTTTCAGGAACTACACATTTTAAGCTCGACAATATCAAACAAGAAACAACAACAAGGTAAGCTAAGGTTTGTTTTCAATTATATTATATTTTTCATTTATAGTGCGTGTGTGGAAATTCAAATTACATTGGTCGATGTACAAAAGAATTGTGAATATGGTCATTTTTTTTTTTAACTTCACTGGTAAGAATTCTCCTAATCCGGATGTCTGGCTTATCCAGCGAGGTATTTTTCCCATATGCTCCGGATAGGTGAGCATTGACAGTACATTCGGTGAAGTTCAAGTTATTCTTAGTCATGACATAATATAAACAACAAAGGTGCAGTGAAATTTCATTTATCTACATTAGTGTGTGAAAGAGAGAGTATCTGATTAAGTAAGAAGGCCAGATAAAATTACTTTGTAATTTTGCCACACTGACTTTAGCATGCAGGGCAATACAGGGCAGACATGCAGGCAAGCCAACAGGCATGATAGTAATTTGTTTTGTCAAGAAGTATAGCCTCTGTGTGTGTGTGTGTGTGTGTGAGTGTGTGTGTGTGTGTGTGTGTGTGTGTGTGTGTGTGTGTGTGTGTGTGTGTGTGTGTGTGTGTGTGTGTGTGTGTGTGTGTGTGTTTATATAATGTATATGTATGTATGTATACTGGTATGTGTACCCCCCACCCCACCCCCTCGATATCCTCACTACATATAAAATAGAAACAGGAATAATAAATATTGATAAAGATGAATTCTTGAGACCAGTAACTACAAGAACAAGGTAGGTATAGATTTAACCTTTCGGAACAAAGGTCCCAAACAAAATACAGTGGTACCTCAGTTTTCAAATTTAATCCATTCCCAGAGATGATTCAAAAACCAAAACAAATTTTCCCATTAGAAATAATGTACAAATTTAATTAATCCGTTCCACACCCTCCGAAATATTAACTAAAAAATACATTTCATACAGAAAAATGCTCATAGGTACCTCACCTTTATTGAGGACTCTTGTTGGCATATGGAAGACAGTGAGGAAGGTTGGAGGAGGAGAGGTGTTAGTGTTTGGAAGGAGAATCCCCTTCCATTATAACAGCAGTGTTGACATTTCTGGGATACTCTTACACTTTGCAAGCACATCACTAGGATGTGATTGTGGCTCACTGCTTGCTTGTCTTACAAAGAATCTGTCTATAGACATTTGTGTTTCCCTATGTTTTAACACTTGTCTGTAGTGAGACATCACATTGTTTCACTATGAATGATCTCGTTTTTCCTCTATCGTCATCCTCAACTATTTTCTTAGGTTGAATTTTACCACTGACTTTTTTGGAACCCATGGCATGATATATAATAAGAACTATATTATCCTTCAGTTATCCCTAAGAACTATATGAATCCCCCAATATTTGTACTAAGCCATATTACTTTACCATTGTAATCTTAGATATCATCTGATATCACGGTTGTTTTTTTTATTGCATATTCTACTGCATTATTCCTTGAAATGATCCTCAAATTGTGCTTCAATGAATTAATGTATAACTGATATATTATCCTAATGTACCTAGTAATCCTTGTTCATTATAATGTATTATTATTATTGTGTATTATTCTAATCTTTATTTTTGTCAAAATTTCTTACAATATACCTGTAAACATTTTTTGTCAATTTTACTGTAATTTATCTACTTACTATAATTATCGTAAATTATCCTATCTGTTAGTTTAAGGACTTGCCCAAAACGCTATGCGTGCTAGTGGCTTTACAAGAATGTAAAATCAACTTATTTCTACTGCATGTTCTCTCTTAACCCCCAATGTACTTTCTTGTATACAAATAAATGAAATAAATAAATAAATAATTTATGTTCAGAAACCAAAAAAGCACAAAAACAATGAAATTCTTCACAAAACATTCAAATATTCGTCACTCGGCAGGAGACACTGGTAAACTGAAGCGCCATGTGCTCAGTCGGCCAATACGTGCATGAACAAACTTGAGTACCGAGTCAAATTTTTCAAAGAAATTGAGCTCAAGAACCAAAAAATTAGACACAAAACACACACACGTGGGACCAAAGAGCCAAAGCTCAACTCCGCAAGCATAACTAGGCGAGTACACGTCTGTCTCGTATGTGTTTGACATGGTCAATATTTCCTCTATTATGTCTACTAATATTTCTAACACACACATACCGTGTGATGGAAAGCTGTCACCAGAGGAACACAAAGAACATTGTGAGAGGAGCATATGCTCAACTTCAGACTTGCTTTTAATTACAGTATATGGATGGTGAAATACTAAAGAAACTGTTCATGACTTTCGAGAGACCAAAACTGGAATATGCAGCAGTTGTATAATGCCCAAATCTTAAGTAACACACAAAGAAACTGGAAAAAGTGCAGCAGCATGCTACAAAATAGGTTCCAGAACTGAAAAACAAGTGTTACGAGGAGATACTACAGACATTAAACTAGAAGACTAAACTAAACTAGAAGATAGAAGAAAAAGACGTGATATGATCACTACAAACAAAATTCTAACAGGAATCTACCAAACTCACAAGGAGGAATTCCTGAAACCAGCAACATCACGAACAAGAGGACATGGTTTCAAGCTAAGGAACATAGGTGCCCAAAAAAATTTGAAAGTTTTCTTTTGCAAACTGAGTGGTAGATGGTTGGAACAAGCCAAGTGAGGTGCTGGAGGTCAAAACCGTCAGTAGTTTCAAAGTGTTATACGACAAAGAGTACTGGTTAGACGGGACACCATAAACTTAGCTCTCAACCTGTAACTACACTTAGGTAATTACACACACTGGTTTCCTTTCTCATCAGCAAATGTGGCAGATGAACACATGTAAATGTTACATGTTACTGTAGTTATGAATTATTGTACTAAGCTTTATGGTTTTGGTTTCCCATTGTTAAGAATTGGAAGTCCTATTTTATTGAAGGCTTATTGAAGTTCCCCTTAGGCCTGACCTCAAGAATGCAACCCACAACAGCTGCCTGGTACCTATTTACTGGCAGGTGATTAAGGACTTCACATGAAAGAAAACTATGCACAAATACTCATCCACCTGAAGAAATCAAAACCTGGACCTGCACTGACCACTTTGCTACTTAACTGTATTTAGGAGATGACTGAAAACTTTATTTGACTGACAGTCATTTTGAATTTAAAAGAATACCCGCAAACACACCCTTATTTGTTGAATAGGATGAAAATTTCACACACTATTATTTATAGCTCCTTGCATTACAAAATCCAACATTTACACTTTTTACATTCTATGATTATGTGTATAAAGAATAAACGCAGCAAGGCAGAGGGATGCGAACCAAAGGAAGGAAATGTAGGATGCAGCTGATGAAAGGAGATTTTGAAGCAGCAGATAGTCCACCACCCACCCACGAACACCATGTTATTTATGGATTCTTGTGCAAACATCGCATTCCTCCCATCTTTCACTATATTTAAGAGACAACATGGCTAACTTTATTTAGACCAGATTGTAAAGAATATTTGGAAGGCAGCCACCTCCTGTGATGGGAGGAAGCTTCTTCCAACCATTCAACTTTATAAAATTAATTCACATTAACACTGTACAGTACAGTTAGTAATTAACAAGTAATATATTTTAATGTTTTAAGAATAAGGATTACTTATGAGTGAAATAATTTTGCTAGTTTATTATTTTTCCCACACAAGAAACATGCCCAGACCAGACTTCATCTGGATAATCAGGAAATCTGAACAACCGAGATCTGGATACATAAAGATGCACTACCTCTATAAACAAAAATTATGGTCACAATGGGTCTAAACTGAGGCAAACCGATCTGAGTTCAGAGTTAAGCACCTAGGAATGAAGACCTATTAGAAAAGCATAGTACAGTATTATAAAACTTCAAGGAAATAACTATCAAAATACGACATTCAGATACTGTGTAACTACATGAACATAATGAGGCTGTTGATACTGTATGCACTGCATGTCAGAAGGAAATTATGAGTGACATTCTTGCACCACCATGTGAAAAACAGCTAACCTTAAACATGTCAATGGAAATTTTTTACAACCATAACAAAATTGATGATTTCAAATCTTATGACATCAGGACGTTTCTTCTCGCACTACAATGGTTATTTTATAAAATTTACTGCCGAGAACTTTAATAATACAAAGATTTTTACCTACACAATAACTAAGAAGCTAATAAGAGTGACAAATTCCTTACCTAAACTACAAGCATCATCATGGAAAGTGAAGGTACCTAGCTTCTCCCACTCTCGATTCTTGTCATCTTTGAGTGAGAGATTATTCTTGATAGTGACCCCGTTGTTTAAATTGCCATTCTCAAGCAGGTTTGGTTGTGACTTACTCACAGATTGGTAGGCATACACAGGATTATCAAAATGATGTTGGTCTGAAACAGATTTTATGTAATCAAATTCCTATTTTCCACAAGATCTTCAGTGCTTTCCTGCCAATAAACTTCAAGTATTAAATACAGCACAGTATGTAGATTCTTGGTATTATTTAAAATTAATCAATTAAATATTAGTGAAAGATGCAAAAACCATGCATGCTGGCAAATTATATTTGCAAAGTAGTTAGAACCCACTTACACTCTCTCACATTCAAACACTATTTTACAAAAGTAAAAACCTCCAAGCCATTAACTGATTCTAGGAACAAAATGCTAAATATATCCAGGCTATTAGCTGCATCAACTGTCCATCTGTAGGACTGTACTTGGATGCTCAAGATGCAAAAAATAAACATAAGATGCAGCAAATCTGTGGAAAAACAGGTTATGGTACACAAGATCCTCACGTACAATCACTAACATAGGTGTTAACCCAAATTAAGGTGCATATGTAGAAGGACAAAACCTTGGAGAGCATCCCACATTAACTACAGTAATTGAGTCACACACAACATTTATTATTGAGTCCAGGAGATGAGGAAGAGCTCGAAAGGTTAAAATGACAAGAGGAACAGAAAAGGGGAAATGAGGAAAATGAGACAAAAGGGAAGACAAGTGAGCGAGTGATTACGAAGGGAAAACTGGGTTAGATAAATGAGGAACATGGGTACATGGTAGATATTGGGAAAATGAGAGAAGTCAATAGGCTATGGATAGATGGGAAAATAAGGAGAGTGGAAGAGATGCAGATGGAGAGAATGAGGTAAAGAGAAGGGGGGGGGGGGGGAAGAGGAGTAATAATAGTGACGAGGAAAGAACAATGAAAAAAAAACCTTGAATGTAATGAAACGCCATTTTCTGGGTGAGACCCGGAGGCTTCCCAGAGACTGATATGTATATTATTAGACTTTGGCATCAGTCAGTGTGAATGGCATTCTAGGCCTACTAGGGATCACAAGCCAGAACCTGGCCCCCTTAGAGAGGCACGAGGAGCAATGGGTTTATAAAAATGCACATGTGATTTGGAGCATTCTATGTCTGCCATCGACCTGGCCAGGCACCTAGAAAGGTAAGCACCTCAAAACAAACCCCTATTCTGGTTAAAACGACTATAGAAAACTAACGAGTGGACAGAACTCCCCAAATGAAAATGAGCAAACGAGCATGATGTCACATGTGCCGTGCCGCACCGCACGTCTGTGAAGCTCCCCCCTCCCCGTGAGGTGGAAGGGCGAGCCCCATACCTATCGTGCCGGCAATCCACCCTTCACTTCGAGGCTGGATGTCAAAACATACGAAAAACCACTGACCGAGGGCGAGGGAGGGTTGCCGGGGAGCCTCCGGGTCACACCCAGAAAATGGCGTTTCATTACATTCAACGCTGGTTTACTGGGGGGAGCCCCTTCGCCTCCCCGGAGCTAGCTACCCAAAGCCAAGGACAAGAGGGGGACAAACCCGGGAAGAGGAAACCACACGCCTGAACCCGAAAGCCATACAACTGCCAACACAAAATGACCCTGTGGACAACCCGAGAGACCCAAATCCTGGAACAGGGGTGAAGGAGATTCGGGTCAACCCAAAGTGTGTCTAGAGCCGCAGAGGCCATGGCACGCAGGCAACGGCCAAGAGCCTCAACCAGACACAAGAAGATACACCCTCTGCCAACCTAACAAACATCAAGAACACAAGAGAGCCCTCCAAAAAACAGCCATCCCAGCCTCTCCACAAAAGAACCCCCCCCCCCCCCAAGAGTCTTGGAATCCTCTAAACCTTGCCCTGACCCCGAAGCCCTCAGACGCTCCAGAGCTGGAAGCAAGGGGGAGGGGGACCAGAAAGAACCACAACACGGGAAGAACGAGGGGGTGCGGACCGAACAAAGGCCGAAGTGACCAACACCCCCAAGTCTGGGTCCCTATAAACAAATTGGGGCAGCAATCAACCTAGCATGTTGCAGCAATCAACCTAGCATATTGTAGCAAACTAAATCTAGCATGCAACATCTGAGCCACCTGCACCCAGATAATGTCAACAGTGGATTGGGTGAATGGAGTCACAAACAAGCAACAATGCTTGCAGGACTCCGGGCCGAAGGTGTCATCGACCCAACAGGCAGCATGACGGAGGCAAAAACAATGAGCGTTGCCCTGAGACAATAGGACAGAGCAACTCTCAAACTCGCACAAGGCGAGAGGGGGACCCAGGGGTCACATCCATTGGACCCCTTGCGCCCCCGCTGGGTTTCTCAGGGCCCCTTAGACTGTTTTTGCTAAGGGTAAGCCCATGCAGGATACTGCTAAATGGCACCCAAATCTACCAAACAAGCTTCTAAAACTGAACCCCTGGGACCTGTCCACTCACGAGAGCCTAGCAGGGGCTACCACTGAAAAACAGGAGGTCAAGACCCTAATATACCAGGGGGCAGGGGAACAAAAGCAGACCCCCCACCAGGAACAAAAATGAAAAGAAAAACCCCGCATGAGGACAACGTACCCAGAAGGAACAGAGCTGGCTGCTGTAATAGGTGAAAACTAGTTGTGCAGTACCCCATGCCCCTACCAGTGTAAAAACTTCCACTTACCCAAAGGTAAACAAGGGAAGAGGAACCCCCCCCCCCCCAACACACCCAGGGTGGTCAAATCACCGAGCAGCAAAAGACCAACAGAGGTATACCCCAAGGTAACTTGTGGAAGATAACCCCCAAGCTCCAAGGGCAGTACTTACAGGGCATTCAGGGAAGGGGGATCCTATGCACATGCAGCCCGAGTACCTGTGAATATTACTCCCAGCTCGCACACCACCATAAGAGCAGTACTGGACACGAGGCACAGCACAACAAGAGAGAATCTGGAGCTGGAGCCACACGACCGAGCCACAATCACATCAGCCGAGAACTGAAGGGTGGATCGCCAGCACGATGGGTCTGGGGCTCTCGCTTCCCCTTCATGGGGAGGGGGAAATTGTGCATACATGCGGCGAAGCACAAGTGGCATTATACTCGTTTGCTCGTTTTCATTTGGGGAGTTCTGTCCACTCGTTAGTCTTCTATAGTCATTTTAACCAGAATAGGGGTTTGTTTTGAGGCACTTACCTTATAGGGTGCCTGGCCCAGTTGATGGCAGACATAGAATGCTTCAAATCACACGTGCATTTCTATAGGCCATTGCTCCTCGTGCCTCTCTGAGAAGGCCAAGTTCTGGCTCATGGTCCCTGGTAGGCCTAAAACTCTATTCACACTGATGCCAAAGTCTAATAATACACATATCAGCCTGGATAGCTCCGGGGAGCCAAAGGGGCTCCCCCAGAAAATTCAAGATAAAAAGACAGGAAATATAGAAAAATGAAGGAAAGGAGATAAAGCGGTGAGCAAACTGATGGTATATGAGAATGATGCGGCTACTGGTACTCAATATTTACAGATGCAAAACAAAGTTTTCAACACCACAAGGTTTTCCCCTTCAAAAGCATTGATGTAAACCACAATATTACCTCCCAAATTGCTGTGTTATGGTGCACAAAATTAAGTGTAAAATGGTGACATCAGGGAGAAAGTGAGAGAACAAGAGAGCAAGAGAGAGAGAGAGAGCATGAGTGCAAGACAAATGTAAAACGGGTTAATAACTACAGTCCTAGAGAGCATAATGTTCTAGTTTCTTGAATAAAGCAATAATCTGTACAACTTTGCTATACTACATATATTTTGTCATAAGCCACTTTCCTAATATGCTCAAAGAATATCCATGATATTTTTGTCTCATAAATCAGCAATTTTGAACGAGGAGTACTTGCCATTTCAATACAAGTCTTAAACAATGAACAAGAATCCACTATAGTATTGTTAACTGCAAACAAACAAGATCGTATTAACCCTTTTGCGGCTCAGGGATATAACAGTCGACCCAAAGATTTGGGGCCGAAAATGTAAGACCTCAATTCAAGTGGATCTCGGAGGCCTGGTGTTATCTTCCTAGTGCATGGCCATACCAGAAAATTTGCCTTTTCAAATTGTCTTTAAAAATAAATGTATTTGTTCCATATGTATGAAATACAATATACAACATAAAATAAACATAGTCACTAAGGAATTTTTTTTAACTGAAGTCACAAAATACGAGCAAAATTTATTTTCCATTTTCTTCTAATAAAGGTATTTTTGTTGTTGTCTCTCAGTTCTTAACTACAGTACTGTACGTTCTTATTTTATTTTACACTTCAAATACAAAAATTATTAATCTTGTCATAATTACTATTAATCATCATACCACTCAAAATTGTTAAGTCATGAAAATATTTACATTCAAAATTAAAAGTTTAAAAAACACAAAAAAATTTCATTATATCCATTGAATATAATGAAATGCCTCTCCCTGGTGGGAATTAACGGCTCCCTGAGGTTATCTCGCCGAGATGACTAACCCCCCTAAAGGAGTCACATCAGCCAAAGTAGTCCTATATGGCCTACTGAGAACCAGAGGGAGAACCTGGCTCACAAAGGTACAGGGAGCAGGGGATTACTACAATTGCTCTCACAGCATCATAGATGTAAGCAAAACATTACAGACACCTGCAAGGTTCAAAGAAATGGAAGCTCTGAATCTGCAGAGTTAGTGTTGATATTTGTTATAATATTAGTGGGTTTGGATATCACACAAATAGGCTGTCTGGATCTTCCACTTTCATGCTGCTTATTGGGGGTGCTAAACATGTCCTCATACTGCTTTTTTTAGTATTTCATTAATTTCTGTGTCATCATCTGTGCACATCTTTCACCTGTGAGCACAGACCGAATACTGACGGAGGTTTTTGATTTCGGTTTCCCGCTTTAAGAAATATTGAAAATATTTCTTCATCTCTTGTATGGCTTTCTGTTTTAATTCCATTTCTTCAATCTGATATGAATGCTTCAGTCTCTGTTCTAGCTCTTCAATCTCCCTATTAAAACTATTCTTTCTTTGTAGGAACAATCAAGTTTGCTTAAGCATTTCTGTTAATTTCCATCTTCTGTAGTGCTATCTGCATTCTCTAGGCTGGTTGTCTTTCTGGCTTTCCGCAAAGGGACATGTTTCAGACAGACTTTATATGATTTAGCAGTCAGTTGTTAAATCCCTTGCATGGGATTTTTATTGCTTAGAACAGTTCCCCATTGAATATTTCTAAGTTCCTTGTTTACTTTCTCCAATCAATCTTATTATTAAAATTGAATTTATTGAATAAACCCTCTCACTTGATAATTTTTTATATCTATTAGTGATATTAATGTTAGTTTGCACTCCAATGATCTTGTGATCTGAGTATGTGGTATCTGAGACTAATGTCCCCGATTATTTCTTCTTTGTGAAGATTAGGTCAAAAATATTTTCAGCCCTAGTTGGCTCTTATTTTCTAATATCGCTTTGAATTTGTCCATGTTGAACAAATTCGTTCAGCAGTCTGATGAATCAAACTAAATCAGTTTTCTTCATATATTATCTTATAATGAGAAAATGCATAGGTCACTACTCATGCCTTGTGCATGCTTCCAGTATATTTGGCTTACATTTTATATTTCTCCTTCTCCCCTTATTTCTACTTGGTGTACTACTTCTGCTCCAATCTGTATAATGCTATAGTAGTCCTAGTCAATGGATTAAAAAAGTAAATGAAGATTAGACTCAATTAAGGATGACGACTTAGAAAAAGTGATTCAAAATCTTGGTTTCTAACGTGGCATAACCAATATTCATACATGTATATTTATTTCTAAATTAACCAAGCTTTTGTATATGCTACCATTAAATAATAATAATAAATAATAATAAATAATAATAATGAAGATGCTGTATTAAAACTATACATTAATTTATAAGTTTCCACTCTGAATACTCAAAGCATTTTAATAATAATCTTTCATTGTCAGTGTTGGAACCAGGTCGGTTATCATTTCAAAGAATTCATTAATTTTAAACAATGTACAGTGGTGCAATTCTAAATTGCTTTACTGTCTATAGTTAGTACATTCCAGTTGCAACATTATCATGCTTGAGTACTTCGAGACCAGCAATGCAGGGTTAATATGTGCACAAATGACAAATATACATTCATTTGAACGACAGCAGAAGTAATCAATTCAAAATTGCTGATCCTATCACATTTCATTCAAAGGAAAGTAGGCACCTTTTTCCAATGAAAACTATCAACAATTGTACATAAAAAAAGTGCAATACCTGCTATAGAACTCCATCTTTTGGCTACTGGTTGTCCTTAAAGTAAATAAGATGCTCAGGTTAGGGTGATATATCCTGGCTCACATGTTTCACATTTTCTTAAAATATCATTTAACCTGCATATCAAAATTAGATATTGACTGTGGCAATCATATATGAAAGATGATGAAAGCATACAAGCAGACAGAGCAATATGTGCATGGTAAGCTTGCTGGGAAGAATCACACCGATCACAAATGAACATAATTTCATAACTGCAAACTCTATTGGCTAAAGGCCAAAGGGAATTGTCCTGTCTACTCTGCAAAAATTTATGTCAGGTAATTCTCCAAAATCTTTCTGCATTTACAGTAACTAATCATATACTTTACCTGAAGCATATACATTGAAAACTTAAATGAAAAATCCAAACCACAAGAAAAAATCAAAGGATTACAACACAAATTAATGAAAGTGAAAATAGCTAGACAATGTTCTCACCAGACTTTTGTGAGAGCTTATTGGCAGCACGAAGTTTTGTGCTCTCTTTAGTCTCAATTGACTTGGGGCGCTCTACAGTGAGTAAGCGTGCAAGTAGGGAGAGAGAGAGAGAGAGAATAGAATCTTCCAAAACAGCCATGAAGCTGTTGCAATAATAGGTTTATACAATTATGGTTAGAAAAAAGCATCCTTCAGGTTAATTTCACTTAATTCATAATTAGAAACATGTTAGTAGGGAGAGAGAGAGAGAGAGAATAGAATCTTCCAAAACAGCCATGAAGCTGTTGCAATAATAGGTTTATACAATTATGGTTAGAAAAAAGCATCCTTCAGGTTAATTTCACTTAATTCATAATTAGAAACATTTTAAATTCACTAATACTACAGTAACAATAAATTTTGCTACTCATCATGCATATGAACCTGTCATAAATTTATGAATTTAAAACTATTTGTGAACCTTATGAATTTAAAACTATACAAGAGTGGATTCAGGCATTTCCGAATGGTTCAATCAAAACACAAATTCTAAACCTCAAAACACCATTTTTTTCTTTTTACACGACTCTTATCAATAATTTCCTGCATCAACTTTAAATTATTGTTAAAACTAATTCAATAGAATTTCAATCTGATGCACACCTCAACAATCATAAATAACTGCAGGCGATTGTTGGGCATGCATCATATCACAATGTTCATGACAGAACCCAGTGTCAACAGTCCTTAATCATTCACCTGTTATTTGAAGCATTGAGAAATGTCTGCATAAAACCTTTTGGCAAGTTTTGAGATTCTCAATTAACAATCGTCTAGATATTTTGCGATTCATAGATGATCACACGAGGTAAACCTCATCACCTGTGCCAGGCACATTAAATACAAAGAGCCATATAATGAAAAATATTAAAAGTTAAATGCCTGTACCTTAATCTCTGCTTGAATCAATACTGTATCAATACAAGACAATATGTGCCATATATCTTGTATGCACATGAAATGCACTACATTAATTAGAAAAAATACACTACAATATAATAAAATATTGTAATTACACTTACGTAATTAGAATATTTTTGAAAATATAAATGCCTGCACTTCCCTCCCTCCTTTTCTTTCTCTTTGAACATATTTTGTATAAGAGTTCACGTACTGTAAAACGAACAATGCATGAATTCTGTGCATCACAGCCCCAAAGACAAAATAAATGTATATTGAGTTTGTTTCATATGGTTCAAGTTTTTCTTTTGTTTTGCACATTTTTAGAGATTATATTATGTCATCAAAACCTTCTCAAATAATTTGTAGCTTATGTTGCACTTCCAAGATGTTACTCTTGTGGTGCGATCTTTTGTAACAAAAGATTTTCCTTGACTGATCTCTCCTGCTATGTATGACCTTACTATATACATTACAATGCATGTGGGAATAAGAGAGAATAAGTTTGGATTGTGGGAGGATTGTTTGGGTGGTGCAAAATGGTCAACAATGATTTTTTTTTGCCCAATTGCACCTAATCTGCTTTTCATGGTTATCCCTGGGTTCCTCAGTTTCCTGGAAGAGGTAGTGGTGCACGTTTTTTCAGTTGACTGCATGGGTCAGCTCTTTTTGTGACTGGAACTGGTTTGTGATGTCAGGGTTTCTCTTTCAGAGACAGCATTGCTTCAGCTTGCCTCCAATCTTTATTTGGACATTAGAAGTTTCTCTTGGGGTCTATCTCCTCCTAGACTATCTAGCATTGCTTGCATTGAGGATAATCCCTCAATATAGTTCCCATTTGGGACATGGCTAATGCCCTTACTGACAGTCCCTCTAGTATTTGTTCAATTAACATGCACCGAGAGGCAGATAGACAGCATTTCTTTAGGAATGGGTCAAGTTCTGCCTGCCCCAGGTGGACCTAATCAATTTTGCATTGAACCAGAAGATGACTGTTTATGGGGCCTCATTCCTTGATTCAGAAGCATTTACAATGGAAGTGTTACATCTAGATTTGAACCAGTGGAAAACACTACAGTTCAAGAGCTGCTGCCTACAGTATTCCGCTGAAGCTGGGGAGCATTGTGGGCTGCATAATGTTTCTGGCTCCCAATACAACAGAAACTAGACTATCACTCCCTTGCAAATTTACTTATCAGCATACAGATATTTGAGATATCTATGCTTTGTTTATACAGTAATTATGTATATATTCATCCACTGTAACATAGCCAAACCTAATTTTTAAAATAGTGTTTAAAGTTTCTTATAAAAAATCAAAGAAAAACTGTTACTGAGAATTTTTAGAGAAATTTGGTTCACACTAAATATACACATTATAACCAAGAGTATTTTAGCTGGAAGAATAAGAATTACAGTTGAAATCTTAAGATGTGTTCAGTTGGTTTATTTTGGATAATTAACATATGGCTACTTGTTTATTACTCAATTAATACTAAGTATCTTAAACCATACAGAATCCTGATACTGTATATCTGCAAAAGTTTAAAACTGCAGAAATCATAGAAAATCTACCTTCAATATATAAACATCCAAGGCTTGAGTAGGAATCCTAACATCCTAATTAAGTAAATATATAGTCATACCTGTAGCTGCTGGGTCGGCAATGTATTGAACCACCGCTAACTCTCGCTTTAATCGCATCAATCTCCGCCTGAAATATTTTACACAAAAACTTTGTGAAATTATGTCACCGTATGTGATACTAATAATATAAAGCTCTAATTTAGCAAGCAACAAACTATGAAGGAAATTGTTTTTTAATACAAGGAACTTACCAAGGATCAAGGATCCATTAACACTTTCGCGCTCTCGGCGAAGGTCACTCAGCCAACCGTATGTGCGCGCGGCGTTTTTATCGCTTAAGCGTAAAAACAAAAATGTGTATACTCTTTTTACTTTTCTGACCTTAGTTTTCATGCTACGTATTTCATTTTGATACCAACGTGTTCGCAATAAAATTCTCTAGAAGAACATCAGTAAAAAAAGTCACGAAAGCTATAGAGATACCAGCATGAAATAAATAACTACGAAGATGAGTCGCCGTGAGCGCTCAACAGCAACAAAATGTTTTTACTCTTGGGATTATTATCACCTCTACAATTGTCCTACAGCCTTAATTTTTGTATCAATGGACTCCCAATAAAATTCCCAACACGGTGATATGAATATAATCGTAGAATAATGGTCCCGGCCCACCCCCAAGAGTGTGGGAAGTGGGCACACTGTTACCCGGTAATGGTGACCGGACGACACACGCGCGAAACGTTGCTTTGAAAGTTTATACTTATTTCACTGTTCTGATATTATTATTGTATGTATGTCATTCATTTTTGTGGCAATGTTTTCGGAATAGAATGTTCTATGAGCTAAATTATACTACACAAACTTGGACCAAATAGGTGTACTTACCAAGGGAAGGCTGGTTGTGGAACAGTAAGTTGAGCATTTGTTCTTCACTCCACCTTCTTCAGGTTCTTCATTCCTGAAGTTGCTCAACAGATGGTTTGTAGGTGGAGTGAAGCTGTTGCGGGTGGTTACTTCTTCACCACCCAATACACCTTTTTCCGGTGGTAATTGGTGTAGCAGGGAACAACACAGAGTGCAACACCACAGGTCTTGCATCCATAGTTCGTGTCCTTCCTTTTACCAGACCGTGCGCATGCATGACACTTGAGACGTTTTGGCAGTCTGTAAATTTCATGTTTCAGTTTGTAGTTCATGCGATTTTCTGAATCAACAATAGGGCCAGGTCTTCTCGCTGGAGGTGTAACAGGAGTTGCAGGAGAGTCAGATTCATCTGACAAAACAGTTTCGTCAACTGGCAGTGTGGCAGACATGTCGGGTTCAGATTCGTTGTCTGTTTCATCTTGAGGTGGTGTAGTGAACAAAGGCCTCCTCACACCAGATGGTCCGGGAGTTGGCATGGCGTCAGCATTGGCAGGAGCTGTGTCATCATTTATGTCTGGAGCGTGCCGCAAGTGTTGAGATGATGATGTTGTTTTAGGCCACTCCTCTGTGTCCCAGTGCAATAGGGCCCAGATTGCCACTTCGTGGAACTGTAGCAATGTTAGCTTTTTTCGATCAGTTGTGTTGTATTTGTACAAAACATAGGCATTATGCAATGCCATTTGCAGGAAATAAAAGGTAATCTTTTTGGTCCACTTGTGAGTTTTCCTGGTAAAATGGTAATATTTAACCATTTGATCGAAGTGGTCCACACCTTTCATGAAGTTATTGTACTCGCAAATTGCAGTCGGTTTGTTCACTGTTACCTGTTGTATTCCACTTGTTCCGTCTCGGTTGCGAATTCGCTTCCTTCGCTGAACTCGCTGAGTGTCTGCATTGTGGATGTTGGTAATGATTGAAACCACTCGCTTGTCTTTCCACAGGAGAATGAAGGTGTTATCTTTGCGGCGGTATACTGTGGTATCCAGTGGAAGTTTACCCTTGGCTAGAGCTTGCAATACCTTTGGGGCACCACGTAGCATTCTAATTGTGCCACATGTGTACACCCCACGTTCTCTCAATGTTTCTGTCAGGGTAACCGAGTTGTAGTAATTATCCATGTACAAATGGTAACCCTGGTTCACTAAAGGCTGCATCAACCCCGTTACTGTATCCACTATCGTCTTACCAATACCTGAGTATACGTCAAAGTCATATATGTACCCAGACACAGATTCAGCAAGCATATAAAGTTTCACACCATACTTGTCTGGTTTGTTTGGATTGTACACTTTGAAGGATAGTCGGCCTCGCCATGCCATTGTACCCTCATCCAAACACAACTCTTTCTTGGGGATGTAAACTTGAGCAAACCTCTCTTTCAAGTAATCCATCACTGGTCTCACTTTTATCAACTTATCACGATTGTTCACGGGCACTGCATTGGTATTGAATGTGTGGAAAAACTGGTTTATATGCTGGAATCGTCTGGACGGCATGAACAAGCTGAAGAAACGAGCATGCCATGGCTTTGCTGTTTGCCAATACATCCTCATAGTTGGGAGCCTAATTATGCCCATCAATATGAACAGTCCTAGGAATCGCGCCATTTCACTCACCTTCACTGAGGTCCAAATATCTGATACATTTTCATTGGCCATCCGGAATAACTGTGAGGCGTACAAATTTGTTTCAACGGTAAAGAACTCAAGGAGGGCTCGCGTGATGAACAATTGAATATAAGCCAGTGCACTAGTAGGCTTGGGAATTTTCAGTCCAGGATCTCCAGTAAAATCATCAACAACTGGAGAAGTATTGCTACGACTCCAGCCCTCACCAGCCCCAGCCTGCCGAGTACGTACTGTACGTGTACGCCTTTCAGCAGGCTCGAATGAATCCTCATCACTTTCCTCATCACTTATACTTTCAGAATCACTTGGCGCAATTTGTCGTGTGTTCCTACGACGAGTAACATAACGTGTGCGCCGAGATGGAGGAGGAGGAGGGGGTCGCGGTGCCTCCTCTTCCTCGGTGAGGGCCTCAGTGTCCTCATCACTCGTTGCCGTATCATTCCCTCTAGCTCTAGGTACACTATAATCGTTGTGGGTTCCAAAATCTTCCTCCAATACCTCTACATCACCTTCAGCTTCTGATAAATCCTCCACAAGGCCTGGAATTTTCGTTGGTGTGAGCTTCACTCCGCTCCACTTCTTAAAAATTTGGGTTATTTTGTCCACTCTCGATGACCTGGAGGCTTCCTTGGGCGTAGAAGTGCTTGGGCCTTGACCTGGATCCATTTTTGATGAAGTAATTGGGTATAATCCACACGGAAACGGGTAAAAATGCTCGAGTTTGGCGCGCGAGGGGAGCGTGATCGACTCACGACACGTGACACGAAAACAATAGGCCCGTCACGTGACCGGGTAGGCCAACGCGCCAGGCGGCCTAGTGGTGAGAAAGAGAACTTCATGGCGCGTCGTTTGAAACAAACCCCAATGAAATCGGATTAAAATTGAATTTTATACAAATATTTTAAAAGAGGACATAACTTTATGTCCACTATGCGTTTACGTTAGACGAAACAGGACGCGCCGGCGCGTCCAGATAGCGCGAAAGTGTTAATCAAGCTTAGTGTGCTCATTTCAATTAAGTTTTGTAATGGTCTGTCAGCTACTATAACTTTGACCATTCCTCATCAAACACCAATGCCATGATCGTGAGCCCAAGAGCAGTATTAGCTGTCCACCATGGAGCCTAAAATGAACTGGCACAGTGGCACTTCTTATTTTTACCTACAAATCCTAAAGCTTCCTCAGAAATATTCAAGTTAGCTAACCAGCCAGAACAGAATAAATAGGCCTTAGATCTAGTCAACAACATTTACTCAGCCTCAGAGCCCCATCAGAACATCTCAAATTCACAGCCCCACCCCCATCTTATCCACCCTCTCACCTAATAAGTAGTACATGTTGCAGAATTTATCATTCCCTTAGAAATATGACGTACAGAATATTTGTAAAATTTAAAGCCAAAATACAGGTATTGATATTTTCTATGCATTGGCCTTGACAGGGTAGGTGGGTTGCTCGGGTTGGTTGGTTTCAGGGTTAGGAAAAATGTGTGCATTTTTTTATAGTATGACAGATTGAGAGAATAGACTGAATAAATTATATTCTTAAGATAAATGATTACCTGGTAACTATTTCTTATGCACGAGGAAAGTGATTTAAGAGAACTGATGTAATGTACTACATTTTATGCTTACCTGTAGTAAATGGTAATAGCAATAACCATGGTGATAAGAATAATGGAGATAACACCAACAATAAGTCCAGCATTGTTTGGTCCTGAGGTGTTAGGCAAGACCAGATCTTTATCTTTTATTATTGGACTTGTGATGGAAATATCACACATGTCACCTGAAAGAATAGAAAAACATTCTTCTAAGACACTGTAAGGATACTTGTATTAATGTTTGTTTTTCAGAGTATGTATAAAATATATTTATATTTATACAATTAAAAAAAAAGAGTTTATTTATGGCAGCTGATCAAGGAAGGTATTCCTGGTCTCTTATACTATGAATATTTCTTTTCAACATATATTTTAAATATTATTAGAAAATAAAATCATAACTCTTAAACTTATACATCCTTGTACTTTACACACACACACACACACACCCCAGTCCGTTCTCATGAGCATTCCCAACATCAAGAAATTGTCTTACTGAAATGTCTTATCCTAACCTAATAGAGGACCCATGAACAGAAAATGGGACATGTCAATTTCGTAAACCGCTACCATCTTCTATGGCCTTGGGTTAAGGATAAGTCAAAATGTGACGTGCTATTAGGATGGGTTGCACACAAGGTAGATCAGTGCAAGATTAAGAAACCAGGTCAATTTTTAAAGGGTCAACTACACCACAATTAAGCAATGGAGGCCTAGTCAGAAAAGGGCATTTCATTTCGATACATTCAACATAACTTTTTTTGTATTGTGGGGAAGAAAAAAATAAAACATATGATGCTTAATGGTTACTAACCTTCATAACCATATTTGCATTTGCAGCCTTCGACTGGGTGACAGATGAACCTCTCTGTACTACAATTACAAACATTCAAACACTGGCGCCCAAAATAACCTTCCGGGCATGCTGAAACAAAAATATATTGGTTACATTAAATCTCAAAATGACGTAAAAAAAGTGTGGAGTGTGAAGTAAAAATTTCCTTATTAGCCTGCTGATATATTCGGATGTAATCCGTGATCTAGAATTGTTTTGAAGAGATACACATGCCCTCATATGTATGCTCTGTTCTTCACTACAGGCCAGTTCAATCATTGCCTATTTATTGAATTCCTGTTGTCAGGGATAGGAAACCTGTCAGGTTTATCATGGGTATTCCTTAACCAACTACTGGCCTTTCCCAGGATGCAACTCACAACAGTTGCCTAATTCCTAGGTACCTATTTAGTGTTAGGTGAACAGAGGGATCTTGTGAGAGGAACTGTGGCCTACACTGACATTTTACTATAACACTTTTCATGTTTGTCAGATACTGCATTTAATAACCCAGTGATGTATCTTCCCAATGCACCCAGGCTGGCTTTGCAACTTTATCAGTCTGTTATTGGGAACAGTGGCAAAGGTATTCAAAAAGTCAATGACACTGAAGATATACAAAGAACATGAAAAATATAAAACTTATGCTTGAAACACTTTACATACCAGTGGCTTTTATTAAATATGCATTTATTGTATGTAGCTAATGATTTATCCACTGCAACACATTCTCCCGAATATACTTTAAATAAATTATCATCATAATATTAAGAGTCGGTATACTAAATAAATATTTTACTTGTGCATATTCTCACTTTTGATATCATATGAAAATCTGAATAATCTTTTCACAGTTCACTTATAAAAGACCAACACCAACTTCACCAAACACCGAAGAATATTTGTGCATATATAGAACTTTTTGCTTATAACCCAAGTGAAGGGGTTGCTACATGCTTATACTAATAAATTAATGATTTCCCCAACTAAATATACTTTTATTCAAGAACCATTACACTCACTCTGTGTGCACCCAGGTCCCATCCATCCAGGCTTGCATTCACAAAAGCCATCACTGCCACGGCACGACGCATGATTGCGACAATGGCATGTCTGAAGGCAGTTATAACCAAAGGTCCCAGGAGGGCACGGCTGCGAGCAGTCTCCGCCTCGCCATCCCGGAAGACACAGACACTCTCCTAGGAAATTCAGAAATAAATTAATCTTTAATTTAACTCTGACATTAAAATATATTCATCATGAATGAATGTAAATGAACTTGCTTCATTTATAATAAACATTCTTTATGTAGCAAACTATTAAGCAAGTTACAGGTATATTTTTTTTTAACAAAATCTGCCTAAAATTTCAATAGCAAGCAAAGAAAACTAAAAATAAAATTTATTAACAATGTTAACAACACACACATAAGAACAGCAAGTAATCAAGGTAAGCAAAGAAGGTATAATTAAGACAACTGATTAAGAGGCACCACACAGTGACCCTTAAACTACATAGTGACCCTCAAACAACGCTAGGCCCTCGATAAATTTATAGTCTAGTATTTTGAAGCATTTTTATCTCTAATCTTTATGTAGAGTTGTGGCTAAAGTTTGGTACGTTTTGTGCTAGTCTTTTGTTCCTTAGGGTCTAGGAGAATATTTAGTTGCTGTCACTACTGTATCTAGCTCATGGTTTCTATCCCTACAGGAAAGTTCTGAGGACATTCCAGTCCAGTGAATTTAAGAGTAGCTTTTTCTTTAGTCTTTGTGGGGAAAATGTCAGGACACCCCCCTTCTGTTCAGTACTGTTCTAGTCTCTATATGACATTGTAGTGTGTTTGGTTGCCACCAACTGCTGCTTTCCACTTCCACCATTGTACAGGTGTGTACAGTACTTCTATTCTTGTGCACTGAGGAGGCTGGTTTTTCTCCAGTTTCTGCTAGTTTTGGTTGTTCTGCCACTCTGACCAAAGCCACCCTTGCTCCATGCCAGCTTGTCAATGTGTGAATTTTGCTGATTGATCCTTAGTGTTCCTGACTCTAATATCTTTAATGTTATTGCTTTAACTGAGCATCAGTCTTGGGTGCCAGCTCTTCAGAAGAAGGAAAATTTGTTATGAATTGCTGCTTTCACTGCCAATGCCTTGGTCAAAAGCAGTTTTTGTAATATAAGTTTCATTTAATTTTATCTTTGTCTTGCATTAATCAATCTTATTTTAATCTTAAAAACTTCAATTGCTTCTAACTTCTGTTCCTGATTTATTTGTTTCACATTTCACACAGCCATACAAACCTGCTTTTGTCTTCTGGAGATTTGGTGGCTGAAGGCCTTGGTTCCAAAGTTAATTTAAACTTTAGTGATAAGAAATGTTGGTTACATGATTCCAAAGCCATACCCTCCCATCTCTATAAAGCAGGGGGATGCAAGCCTATTTACACACTGTGTTGGCCACATGAGCTTGCCACAAAGTTCTCATATCCTCACTGGACACTGAAGTACCATCATATAAAAGGTGTTTCAATACAATGTATTCAACTACAATAAATAAAATATATAATGCATAAAGATTTTTTTTTCCTGAGAGTAGATGATAAACAGTTTAATAATTTTTACCCTCATTTTGAAAGTAAACTTCCTAGATAAAATCTACCATAATGCCAGTTTTTCTATGAGGGACTAAGGATTATCTTACATTTCAGAGAAAAACATTCCTAACCTACATTACAATGCCTTCAAAATACTGTACCTGTTTCATGGTTGCACTCTGCACCATTTCGACATCTACATTCATTTGCACAGCCGAATCCCCACAAGCCAGGACGGCAGGTACGATCGCAGCGAGAACCTTGCCAACCAGCTGCGCACACACATTCTCCCAGTTGTGGATGGCATGTGCCATTCCCTGTAAATAGAACATTATTAGTTTTGCATGTTGATAAACTTAAACCACACCATTACATTATAATCACCAGGGCTTGATCAATACTTTTCTCAGTTCACTAATCAACCAAATGTTAAATTCATTAACTTATTTGAATACTGTTTTAATAAATATGCTTATCAGCCTTGATTTTCAATCATGGACAGGTAAATTAATGTATTGGATGGGGGGGAGCCAGTTTATGGAACTGGTTCCCTAGTGAACTGACAGACTGTCCGACCTATACTTTGTTCAGGAGTGAAACCAGAAAGTGCTGGATTTCATTATCGTGGTTTCCTGCCTTGTGCTTCGGACTCGCACTGTCTTTTGTGCTGCCCACTTCCCCCAATTTTTGTATTTGAGATATACATCAACAGGGTAATCAATCCCTCTCAGTGTAATATTCCTCAGTTTAGTTAGCTTACTTCTCTTTTAGTATTAAGTGTTTACCCCTACACACCTTTGAAAAAAATTACAATTATTTTATGTTTTGCCTGAAATGCTTTGTATAATAGTTATTGTTACAAATAATTTGTTATATGAAACTCCTGTCCCTACAATTGTACATTACTCTTGTTCTCTGTATGCACAATCTTTTGAATTTACCTTATTTGAGCAGCCCTACATAATTCTTCAAATACTTTCTGCTAATTACTTCATGGACTTTGGTATTTTTTAATGAAGATTTCTTTCATGCTATGGTTGGTATGAATAATGTTTATTTGCTAATGTGAAGCTCATTGCATCTTAAAATGTTTACTGTAGAACAATTAGGAACTTTTATGTATACAGTACCATGAATACAAGATGGGCAGTCTTGGTTGCAGTTCACTCCATATTTGGTAGGTCTGCAGGGTGTGTTGCAGTCAGCACCATGCCACCCTCGCTCGCATATGCATTTTCCCGTTTGAAGGTTACACGATCCATTGTTCTTACAATCACATTTCTTTGTACACGATTCCCCATAGAATCCGCGAGGGCATTGAGACTCACAACTGACACCTGCCAAGAAAACAGAATTCAAATAACAAATATAGGAGGGAGAAGTTGTTGTGACAGGGGAAGGAGTGTGTAAAGGAAATACATGAAGAATTTTTACTATGGCATTTCAAATACCTTCCATTGTTTGAAGGACTCTTGAGAAAACACCCAAAACATCCAAGAGCTCTGACCCATTTTGTTAAAATATATGATGGACAAATACAAATGTGTGAATTTTATATGACTTTTTCTCCAGTGAGACAACATGTGCATTAACCCTTAAACGGAGCAAAACAGGGTCTGGGAAGTGAAAAATATTCAAATTACATAAAAAATCACTTGAAAATCTTAAACAAATCTCCAACTTATTGGCTTCAGCATCTTGAAACTTTCATGAAAATATTTTCAAAAATTGATTTTAGACAATGATTTTAAAAAGCAGAACATTTTATTGATAAGAACATCTATTAATTGAAACTGATGGATAATGCAGTAATAAAGAGATGTAAGCACCTGTCCGACGCACAAAAGAAGAAGAATAGTAGTAAGAAATGTCCACAAAGTGGATATGCAGCTGGTGCCTTTATAGCACTGCTACGTAATACATAATTTGTCACAAATAATAATGAGTATGTTATTATGCTCTATATTGTTATATATCATATAAATACATTGCCCAATGTTAATAGCTTACTTTCATCAATGTCCAAAAAATAAGTTTATTTTTTTGTGGGGTAGGGGGGATTTTTTTTTTTTTTTTTTTTTTTTTACGTTTTAGTTTTTTCTCCTTTGTTTATTATCCGATTTTGTTGTAACCTTTACAACCTGGAGAGTGCATACCCATCCCTAATTACATGAAGACAGAATGAAATTGGTCAATAAATAAATAAATCAGTCAACTCGCAGAACTTGGGGCTTTGAATTTTTTTTTTTTCACAGATTTCAAACTATTTTCTTTATCAAGTTAGGTTGTTTTGATGATTAGGGACTGGATTAGGGCTTTTTCACTTATATAAAGTATGCCCTTAATAGATCTCCTAAATCATTATAATTATTATAATTATCCCTATATTTTGTTTTTTGGGGTTATTTATTCTTGACTTCATTTCTACACATATCTTGAGGTTATCTTGAGGTTATCTTGAGGTTATCTTGAGGTGATTTCGGGGCTTTTAGTGTCCCCGCGGCCCGGTCCTCGACCAGGCCTCCACCCCCAGGAAGCAGCCCGTGACAGCTGACTAACACCCAGGTACCTATTTTACTGCTAGGTAACAGGGGCATAGGATGAAAGAAACTCTGCCCATTGTTTCTCGCCGGCGCCTGGGATCGAACCCAGGACCACAGGATCACAAGTCCAGTGTGCTGTCCGCTCGGCCGACCGACTCCTCTATTGACCTACAACTTTCACACATTCGTGTATGAATGCCAAACAATGTTTGTTAAAACATACAAGTAAATTAATGAATTAGAACTAGCTTACACTAGCTTATTCATTGTCGATAACTTCAACTTCAATTATATCTATAACTAGAATTTAAACTTTAGTCAGATAAAAAAAATCCAGTTTCTGACCTATTTTCACCATTTTTACATATAGTGTGCACAGCTGTCTGTTCTACTATTCCTTATAAAATGGATTTTTCATAAACCCTAAACGTTTGGAATTATACATTTTTTGTCTAAATTTGCTGCATACTTACAGTATTTCAAATGCCATACTTATAAATTTTTTTATAGTAAACTATACTGAAAACCTATATTCTAATTTGATGAAAATGAAGATCATATGCTAATCGGAGAGCATAATAACACCAAATGAACAATTGGTACTATTTTATATTTTAAATCTGAATTGAAAATCTGAATTTTTCAATATTCAGTTTTAAAAATATTTGTGATTTTCTTGTTCTTCAAGTTATGATGGTGATCATTTAGACAAAGTTGGAGCATTTCCTAGTTGATTATGCACAAAATATTGGAAAGTGTTTGTGCAAGTTTGAGACGCTGATGTTCAATCATATGTATGTTTTGCACCATTTAAGGGTTAAACATCAAGATATTTTAAACCATGAAGTTATAAGAGAACAATTAAACAAGTTCCTTTGTATTTAGCTGGTACTGTATTGAGAACCCCCGTATGACAATGCCTGTATACCAATAACACAATAGCAATTAAAAAAAAAAAGAAAAACAAACATAATTCTTTACAAATCATAAACACACAGTCATTTGCAATTCAATTGAAATCTAACCCTTATATAATTAATAAACTAATAAAAGCCATACCTCTAAAGCCTGGTTTGCATATGCATCTGCCAGTTTCTGGATCACAACCTTCAACATTGGGACCAACACAGGCACAGACGTTGACACAATCCATCCCGTGGTAGCCTTGATTACAAGTCTTCTCACATTTGTCCCCAAAATGTCCAGGACCACATGTACACTTGCCAGACACCGGGTCACAAGAGCCATTGTTCTGGCAATCGCATATCTTGGTACAATTACCTCCATAAGCATTTAGTGGACACGTGAGGGAGCACTGCTGGCCCTCCCAACCTATGAAAGTTTATATAAAGAATAATAAATTTTCACTGATTATATCATGATGATTCATTTCTTGTAATGGTTACATTCCCTATTTTTCAAAAGGAGGCATCATCCCAGAAAAACACGAATAACAGTGAAGAAGGTTCTTTACATTAAAACAAAAAAATATCGACTACTAGTATCATTCACACTAAATTGCATCACAAAACAAGTACTACTACTACTACACTCCAGAAGTCATCCACAACATTAACCCACCACTTCACAAGATCAGTTGTCAGGTGCTTCTCGTAATTACCAAGTAAAAATACAATCCCTCCTTCCTCACAAACTACTTCACCCCAGCCTTGTGTTGTTCACACTCTAGCACTGCTTCACACACATGCCATGTTCACCCATCTTTCTAAGCTTCCATCTCTCCTTATACTCTTAAATTCCCATCTACACTCATTAATAGTCTATCATTATCCATGTATTAACATATCAAAACCATCTCTGTGCAATTGTGCAACTGATCAACTTTTGCACTCCACATCTCACCAAAAATTGATATTCCACATTCCAGTTTACCTCCAACCACACGTCTAGTTTCTAATTCTTGATATATTATATTTAAAGCACATACACAAAAAGAAAAAGGGATGATGAATAACAATTTAACAAATTTTGAATATTAAAGCATTTGCCATTTAAAAATTAGTGTAGAATTACTAAATCAGTTTTCAGTTGTATTGAGTATATTTCATGACATTCATAGATAATGGGAAAAATGAGAAACAGTTTTAAAAACAATTTCCATTTAAATGCTTACCCGGTCTACATATACACTTCCCAGATTCATGTGAACAGCCGATAGAGTTTTTGCAACGACACTTCAAATCACAGTTCTGCCCGTATCGATTTTGTGGACAGTGCTCACCACACTGCTCTCCCTTATACCCTGCCAATTTACAATACATATACTGTATTAAAGTACATATAAATATACAATTTACAATATATTTACAATACATATAAAACCCAAGTGCAATATACAATAGAAGGATCCCAAAAAATTATCTATATATATACCCTAGAGCGCAAAGAAATAAAAACCAGTTAAAAACCAGCGTTGAATGTAATGAAATGCCATTTTCTGGGTGAAACCTGGAGGCTCCCCAGAGCTATCCAGGCTGATATAAATTTCATTAGGTTTTCCATCAGTGTGAATGGAGTTTTAGGCCTACTGGGGACCACAAACCAGAACCTGACCCCCTGAGAGAGGCATGAGGAGCAATGGCTTATAGAAATGCACATGTGATTTGGAGCATTCTCTGTCTGCCATCGACCGGGCCAGGCACCCAGAAAAGTAAGCACCTCAAAACAAACCCCTTTTCTGGTTTAAGCAATGAAAATAGACAAATGAGTGGACAGAACTCCCCAATTGAAAACGAGCAAGACATCACACGAGCCACACCGCATGCCTGTGCAGCTCCCTCCTCCCCAGGAGGGATAAGTGGGAGCCCCAGACCCCCGCATCGGTGCTCCACACCCCAGTTCTGAGGCTGGATGTCAAAAACCCGTGAAAAAACGCTGACTGGAGAGAGGGAGGGATGCCGGGGAGCCTTCGGGTCTCACGCAGAAAATGGCGTTTCATTACATTCAATGCTGGTTTTCTGGGGAGAACCCCTTTGGTTACCCGGAGCCACTTCACCAAAGACGAAAATGAGAGGGGACTTACCAGGAGGTGGTCGGTGCTCGCATCTCAATTCAAAGTAGAGACAACAGGCTGCAACCGCCGATATAAAGTGACACAGGCCCGACTAGGCCCAGGAACATTAACGAGGTATCCCGCTGGACGCGGGAAGCCAAAAACCTCCAGAAGGACGGAACCGAAGGATCCGCAGGGACACTGAACCGAACCCAGGGAGGAGCCAAACCCAAATCCAACTTGTACACAGAGAAGGGGGGGGGAAGAGGAAGAAAAACCCCACTCCTTGTAAGCCCCGCTCGGAGGGTTGGAAAACCCAGGCGGGGTCCAATGGGGCCCAAGGCCCCCAGGTCAGCTCCTCCCAACCCCGGGAACCTCCACATCAGGCCCCTGGGGGCGAGTCATCCTCCAAAGCCCCAGCCTCACAAGAAAAAACTGGAGCAGTTGAAAAAGCAGGAAGAGAGGGGGCCCCACTTGTCAGACCCCGAAGCTACGACTGGAGGAATGGACTCTAATGCCTCCGTCACCATCCTGGAACCCCCAAAACTGCCCGAGTCGCAGAAACCTCTAAACCCTGCCCCAACCCCAAAGCCCTCAGACGCTTAGTGGCTGGATGCAGGGAGGGAGGGGGGGGGGGGGTAGAACAGAATGAACCACAGCAGGGAAAGAACGAGGGAGTGCGGACTGAACCTAGGCCGAAGCAACCAACACCCTCAAGTCCGGGTCACAATAAGCAAAGCGGGGCAGCCTTGGGGCTTCTGGGGAAGCAACCATCCATAGGTATACGTTGCAGCAACCTATACCTAGCATGCAATGCCCGAGCTGCCTGCACCTGAAAAATATCAGATTGGGTGAATTGAGTCGCAATCAAGCTATAATGCTTGCAGGACTCGGGGTCGAAGGTGTCACCGACAAAACAGGTAGCATGACGGAGGCAAAAACAACAAGAGTCAAGGGGAGAGGGGTCGCATCCATCAAACCCCATGTGCCCCCCCCCCCAAATCACATGTGCATTTCTATAGGCCATTGCTTCTCATGTCACTCTGAGGGGGCCAGGTTCTTTCTCGGGGTCTCCGGTACGCCTAGGAACTCCATTCACACTGACTGATGCAAAAGTCTAATGATATTCATATCAGCCCGTATCAGCCTGGATAGCTCCGGGGAGCCGAAGGGCTCCCCCCAGAAAAGTTAATGTGTGCAACCTTTCCAAAAGATTTCCTTAACTTTCTTAACCTAACTTACTTTCTTTCCTAGCTTTCCTTAACCAAAAGATTGCTAAAAAATTAGCAAATGGGGCGCTTTACCTTTCTGGGTGCCTGACCTGGTCAATGTCAGAGAGAATGCTTCCAACCACATGGGGGTTTCTATAGGCCAGTGCTCCTTGTGCCTCTCTGAGGGGGGCCTGGTTCTGGCTCATGGTCCCTGGTAGACCTAAGAACTCCATTCGCTTTGATTGATGCCTGGGTCTAATACATTCATATTAGCCTAAATAGCTGATATACCCCGGGGAGTATACCTGTGGAGCCGAAGGGGCTCCCCCAGAAAAAGTATGAAATCCACCTTTATTAGTCATTTGGTTGCCCACTATGGTAAGATTTCTTGTGTCCTCTGGACAAGGATCATACTGTACTAATTAAATAAGGAAACTTCTTAGCACTGATTCTGCAAGGAAATTTGAGTAATTTCTAAGGGATCATTAACACTTCGCTTCAATAGTCAACTAAATAAAACTGATCATTCCCGAGGTGATTGCGTTTTCTCCAGGTAACCACAGAAATATTTCCAAATACAGCGCACTCTACTGAAAATGTCAACCAGGTCCTCTGGCTAAATTTGGTGTGTGTTGCCTTCCATTGAAGACACCAAACTTGTCACCCCAAGAATGCCTCCCTTACACAGCCACACATTCCTCAAACTTGTATCTATATCTGATGTTACTTCAAACATGGTGATATGCAAAATTTACATATAGTATGGCTATTTTTAAATATGTACAGTATATGAATAAATTTGCAAGCTTGGTAATTTTTTGTTTCAGTCAATTTGTACATGAATATTTTCATCATTTTCTTCAAAACTGCTACAATTATAAACATTATAACAATTAATAGTAAATAAGAAAATTGCATTCATGTTATTTTTATTAGAAATTAAAAATAAAATGGCAAGACAATAATTATATATTTTCTATTTTGCTTCTAAAATGCAAAAAAAATTTACGTGTGAACAGTATGCCTGCTAATTTTATTTATAATGATATTCTATACATTGGGAACACTTAGGGCTAGGAATTTAGTAATTTGAATAATGTTTTCTAGCAAGAGAATGTATTGCATATATGGAAAGCACAGATCTTTTCCCAACTGGAAATGTTTACTTGTTTTTTATTGAAATTTAATTAGTGTACTGTACAATGTGTGTGCCTATCCAATTCTATTAACCTAATTGTGCTCGAGTTAGTTGAGCTTCATCTCTTAGGTCCCGCCTCTCAAAATGGTGCATAGGTTCCTCAGCTATTTCTCTCTTTCACTCCTACATTTGAAATTGTGTGGAATATGCCTCCCATCACCTCCATTTATTCACTACTGACACTAAAATTCTAATGCCTCGGGAGCTACATACTACAGGACTGGTCTGACATACATGATATAAAATATTCTAAACGAGTCCTTACATAAATTTCTAAAGACCGTTCTTATTTTGGCCAGCCTAGTATATGCTGCCAATATCCTGTTTATGTGGGCTTCAGGAGAAAGGCATGGTGTGATTTCAACCTCCAGAATTTTCTCTACTCAATTGTATGACTGTATACATACATATACTGTATATGGTACATATGTACTAGTAATGAACATGGTATAAATAATGGAAGACAATCTGACCTACGTGCATCCATTACCCCCCCAACACTAACAAGCATGCAGTTATTTAATTGATCCTTGTGTAGGAAGGTAATGAATGCAAGTAGGTCAGATCATCTTCCATTATGTAGTCCTGACAACTTATTATTCATACCTTATCAGTGGTACAGGTAGTATATACTGTACTATAAATATACATGCTTAGAAATAAGTGGGAGAAAAATTTAAAATGGGCTGCTGTACCCCCACATTTTTATCTTTGAAGTTAATGTGCATAGGAAATACAATAGGGTGGATATAAACAGGAGGGTGGATATAAATAGGAGGGTGGATTATTGAGTGGATATAAATAGGAGGGTGGATTATTGGGTGGATATAAATAGGAGGGTGGATTATTGAGTGGCTATAAAGAGGAGCTAGCTGGCTCATATGGGTCAATAGGCTTTCTGCAGTTACCTTCATTCTTATGTTCTAATAACATGATATGTTGCATCTTACCTGGAGCACATATACAGTTTCCATCAACTGGATCACAAAAGGCACCATTTCTACATTGACAGTTCTTTGCACACTTCTCTCCAAACTTGTAAAACGGACATGCTCTAGTGCAAGTTTCCCCGGCCCAACCTGCCTTGCATTCACAAATTCCAAACCAAGGGTGACATCTGAAACACAGTACAGTATATGATAACTTAAAGATATACACTAATGCCATGATCTTGTTTACATCATTCTACCCGTGATCTTCTCCCACACTTTCTCTTGTTCTTATCTACCTGACCCCACAAGTTTTCATTTGCCCTGATCTTAACTTAATCCAACTTAAATGAAAATCCAGTCCCAGCCTACGGACTGCACATGTGACAGTGAGGGAGCAAGTGGGGGAGGTCTAGAGTCATAGAACTCCAAGGTGGACATGATACTGCCACCTGCTGCATTGGTTTCAGATGGTCAACCATATTAATTCACAGTTGGCAAGAAACTATTTGTAGTCACCAGCAATGCCAAAGGACTTGGAAGACTAAGAGTTTAAATGAACTGCCCTCTGTTGGCTATTATAGATTGGCCTGAGTGCTTCCTAGCATCTCCTTAACACCTATAATAACCTTGCATTCCTATTTGAAATGTTGCCTGCATCACAAGTTGCAAGGCAGCACAATGAACTGTGCACTGCACGCAGCACAGTTTGTTAGCCTGGCAAAATGTGGTACCATTGTGTCCAAGGACACAGTAAGATTTTACCTTTACCTTAGACAGCAACCATATGTTATAATAATTGAGTAAAAGGGGAGTAAATAATATACATAACTGCAAGAGAATAAAATTGCAATTCATAATTTATGATAAATCACCATTTAGATGTACTGCAAATATGAACAAAAGAAATTCTTAATATGTTCCCAATAGCAATCAAATACTGTATACTCTGAAGGAGAGGAAAAAGAAAAAAAGAGCTTTGACTATTACGATATTTTTTCTTAGTTTATACAACACGTGATTATTTTAAATAATATGGAAGATGCAATGAGCTATTAATGGATAGTCAATAAATAAATATACTGTACTGTACTAGTATTTGAGTTTATTACTGGCAAGTGACATCAAGGCAGGAAAATTATGTAAAATAATACTTTTGGGATTAGCTTGTAGAAACAGTATTACAAAGGAAACATTTAAATAGAGAAATACTAGAAAATGTTCTAGCTTCAGCATCAATCACCACACCGTAATGAGGCACTACAAAGAGTTTATTTCTTACCTCTCTGTATTATCCTTTTCACAGGAACATATATGCGAGCAACCTGGGCCGTACTGATTAGCAGGACAAGCAGGAATAGAGCAATTGCTTCCAAGCCACCCATCCTTACAAAAGCAACGTCCGCTAATGTGTGAACACGTTGCTTCATTGCGACAGGTGCAACTTTCAGTGCAATTGACTCCGTAAGTACCAAGAGGACATTCTTCTTGACACTTTAGGAATTAAATAATGTACATAAATATAGATTATTCTTTTCAAACTTTCTGCTGGGGAAAAAAAAAATATAGTTGATACACAAAATAATGTCAAGAAATTTGTGTCAAATATTTTAGCACCTACAGTAACTCAATTACCTGAGAGTATCCATAGTGGCAGTTTAAAAAAAAACAATGACAATTATCGATGAGGCAAAACAAGAGAGCTTACCTTATTACCCACATATCCAGAAGGGCACCTACAGCGGCCAGTTATATGATCACATGTTGCAGAATTATAACAGTCACACAGTTCCGAGCAATTATGACCCCACGTACCCTGAGGACACGGGTTGGCGCACACATCTCCCTGAAATTGGAAAATCACAACAACACTGAGCATAAAGGCATTATATTCTTTACCACTTTTACCTTGCATCTTTTTAATTCATTGTATATACATATAGGGTGTTCCATAAGTCTAGAACCAAAGGTTATTAAGCGTGAATACTGATTGGATACCTTATCTGCATTTGTGTATTATAATAATGGACAGAGTGAATACAATTTGTAAGTAGAATAAAAGATAAAGCTGGTTTTATACATTTGTTCCATGGTTCAAAACTTATGGGGATACCCTGCAATACATTGTATATACTATATATCCTTCATAAACTGCAACTGACTTGAATGCTTGTATGAAAAATCAACATTATTACCCTATTCTTGAGATGGGACGAGTACCCCTGAGTGGAGTGTGTCAAGGCTGACATCCACATGTCGGCCTATGTCAAAATGTCTCGAGCAAATTTACTCGAACATATTTTGTGTACTAAGATTTTGTATGTATTTTATGCAACTTCAATAATATACTGATATAAAATAGCAACAGATTAATGATCAAAGTAGGTATCACTACTTACAGTCCAACCTGATGGACATCGACATTTTCCTGTAACTGGATCACAGTGGCCTCCATTCTGGCACTGGCACTTGTTGCTGCAAGCCGTGCCATGAGTTCCCTCAGGGCAAGATTTCTCACAGAGGGGACCAGTCCAGCCTGGTGGACACTGACAGGCTCCGGACACATGATCACATGTCCCGCTGTTCTGACATCGACACCGATCCTTGCAGTCCTATCATTGCAGTGTCAACATTATTGCATGCATGTATTTTCCCAAAAAAGAAAAATGTTAAATTATGTTATAAACACCTACTGGGTTAACTACATGAACTTTCATATTAAATTCTAATGAATTAATGCTATATCACATCTACAATTAAATATTATTTGGCACACATTTCAAAGTTCTTTTAAAATTGATATGCAAGTGAGAATAGGAAGCAATAGTTTTTTGTTTTTGTACAACACATTTTTAAAACTTTGAAGACTGACTACTTCATATGAGAATAAATCAGTTGAAAGTGTGAGAAATAGGAAGAGGATGTAGGCAAGAGGAAGGGAAATTAGTTGAGATTCTACCTTGTCAGATTGAAAAATTGGGCATAACAATTTCATAGGAAGGAAGGAGAATGATTTTAATCTTAATATTACATCTACTTCTACCTACTACTGCACTATTAGTGCTAGTACTATTATTATTTATATTGTTATTACTACTACCACCACAATGTACTACATAACCCTATGTACCACAACCATTTTCTCATGCTCAGACATGCCAGCTACAAAGTATAAAATTGGAATCCATTTTATAATGCTAAATTTCAGTAGCATCAGAACTAAATATGAGCAATGTAGTGATTAAGGTATCAGCCTTACTGGGAATGGTTTGTAAAGTGTGAATGCATTTGTAACGTATATGACAGTGTTATGAAGAAGTGGGGTGGTGCTGTGAATGATTGTTGAGGTTGCTGCCAGTGATAAGTACTGTACTAGCATTGGCTGTCCATAATTCTGGTCGCCTGCCTGGCAGTTGGGCACGGGTCATATACCACTGAAATTTCTCTAGCATCATTATGGTTTCCTATTGTTTGAGTCAGGAGGCTAATTTAGCTTATCAAGGTCCCCATAACCAATTACTGTCCCAGAATCCAATCCACAACAGTTGCCTATATTCTAGGTACTTATGTACTGCTTGGTGAACAGAAGCTTTTGGGAGTGCTTCATGCATGGGGCCACATACTTGAGTGTGATCTTATATATGCAGTAAGGAGCATTCTGAACTGGAAGACTCTGCTCAGAGTCATAAAGGCAGTCCTTATGATTACCAACATTACATATGCTGCCAACATTGTTCAGTTAATGTGTACCTCAATATGTGGCTTTGTGATTTTTCCTTTGGCTCCTATTGTTGCTTCTATCCCAGATGAAACATTGTGTTCAGCTGCCTTTCCTCAACACTCAACACCTTGCATTAGCTAGTTGTAGCTGAACTCTAGCAGCCACTTAACTACTAAACTATTCATGTAGTCTGTCCACAATTCATCCGACTAATTTGTGATGGTTCCAGGAATCCATGTACCCATGGCCCTTTCACCAACCAGGCCTCCTAGTTAACGGTCTAGTCAACCAGGCTGTTAAGACTGCGAGCAGTAGCAGACAGTGGCATCTAATTTAGGAATCGCAGCCTGGTTGATCAGGTATTCTTTGGAGGTGCTCATCAAGTTCTCTTTTGAACACCGAGACATTGGGAATGACAAAGTCAACAGGATTCCTCAACGGGAGGAATTTCATCCTCCCAGCGAGTATAATATTGCCAGAACAACCGTGGACAAGAGAAAACTAGATCATTTTCTCCAAGGAGTGCCGGACCAACCGGGTTGTGGTGGATATGTGGGACTGCAGGCCGCTCCAAGCAACAGCAACTCAAGTCAAGTTTGGCCTCGGGCCGGGCTTGGGGGAGTAGAAGAACTCCCAGAACCCCATCAAACAGGTATTAAGCAACCAGGGACTAATGGAATAGGAAGTAGTGGGGCTCAACTTCCTTCCACTCACATGATTCTTTCACTTAAGTTTTGGCGGGTTGCTATAAAGGTAATCCTTTATAGCAAGCTACCAAACGTACGTTACCAATGTAACGTACGTTTATGTTACATAGTTGGGTAGATTAGCTACACAGTGATTAGTGAGTTTCACATTTAGTAGTCCTGGATACAGCAGTGTCGTAGACGTTGAGACGGAGCTTGGAGCAGAGCAGAGCTGAGAGCCGAGTGTGGCCGGAGTCGCAGAGCTCTATGTGGGAGAGCATTGTAGCTGGATGCGGTCCTAGTCTGCTGCCTGTTCTGTGTCGAAGCTGTAGCGTCTTGGAGATGATTAGAACTGCCTACGCCGAATGCTACATTCTTCACTGGAAATTGTACTGATTTGCTATTCTCAAATTGCTTACTTATATACAGTGACTACACCTCACAATAAGATAGGAGGGTGGAAAAACCGTTACCTGTAAATAGGGATAAATAAAGGCTATAAAGGTAATCCTTTATACATGAAAGCATCTGTTTTCCCCATTTACTGGATTTGTCTCCTGTACTGCAGTGTCCAACATATGAATATGTAGTTCATTCACCTTCCTTAACATAATTCTGTTAAGAGTTGCATGGCAAGATTTATGTTTGCTGAATCAATGCTGGTGTTTCATTATATAGGCCTTCTTTCCTGACAGTCTCTTACATGAAGTTACACAGCATGCTTGCAGAGAGCGAGTCTTGTGCCTCCCTTACTAATAAATGTAATTAAAAAGTTCAATACTGTCTGGTTGCTGCCTGCCCATTGCATGTAAAAATATAAATGGATTTTTTTAAATAGTAAGGGATAGGGACAGAAAACATTGACGGACATGCTTAGTGAGTATGATACAAATGAGAGAGTTATCAAGCAATGCTGAAAATATATTAACTCACCACACCATAATATCCTCCTTGACACTTTTCTTCACAATAAGGACCAATCCATCCTGCATGGCATGAACAGTTGCCATACAATGGATCACATTTTCCTTCATGTAGACATGGGCAGTCATGAACACATCCCATGCCCCATTTTCCCTCAGGACAAGCTGCAAGAATTAAGAGGTTCTTAAAGCATAAATAGAACATTTAAGAAAGTTTCAGAAAATGCTAATTTACTTAAATTTATGAACTAAGAAACAGTAACGTAACTCAAGTGATTGAATTTTGTTTTTTTAATTTAGTTTATAATTAAATATGAGCAGACAAATGCACTAAGTAAACCTGCATAATAAATATTACAGTATCAACAAACTAGTCTAAGCTTATTTACTTATGTATTCAGGGCACATCACTAGTACTGTATCGAGTATAAAGTTAATACTACTACTGAATTAGAAATTAAGAAACATGCAGAGCAAAGCATAAGGAGCACTGATGATAAATACAAAAAAACATAAGGCTACATAATACCAATGAAAACATATTATAAACATTACTGCACCTCGGTACTAGAACAATAAAAAAAAGGGCAAAATTGGTTTCGTCACTACAAACATCAATATGGCTGAAAACAGTTCAGCAAATGGACATCCAAGACACTGGCCTATCTACTGACAATGTTCGTTAATCCAGATCATATGGGGCCCCCCCACCCCTCTCTGAGTTAGCCGCACACCCAGATTATCAATAATTCTTACCGGAAAGGTCTAAAAATTTACATTCACAATTTTGACCACATATAGCATAATTCATATTTCCACACAAAATAAAAAAAAATTACATGATAAGGTTAGAATGGCAATGGTTTTGACTGCTAAGGCCTTTCTGATGAACATAAGTCTCCCAATTACATTCAGTAACTCTCCGAGTTAATTCAGAATTAAATAATTCAGAGCCAAAACCCTCGGTAACCTAGATTTCTGTCCGAGTTTGGCGAAATTTTACAGACAAAACTCGAACTTTATTTTGTCCTGATTATGCAAAGGTCCGGATCAATGGGGTCCAGATTAGCGAGCTCCAACAGTATATCTCTTGATATTGCTAGGTCACTTAACCTTTATGTGGTTCAGTTATTACAAGTCCTACATGACAAGTGCCCGTGACAAAAAATAACTAAAAAAACTAATGTAAACAGAATCTCATATGACAATTCAAGCACAGAGTGTTATGGCAGATAGCAATTAGAATCATAAAAAGGGTTAATAAATTAAAATATTTGCAGACACAAAAATTATCAAATGTAGCTATTAAAATCACTCAAAAATTAAATATTACATTTATAACATTGAGAATCCTCGCTAAAGAGCACATATTGGACATTGATGAAGAGTGGCCACTAGCTCATGCAATTTTACATGACAATGCAAATTCTGTACGTTACATATTTTTATTATGCATTCAAAATGTTCAGATTTTGAATGACGCATTTAAAAGCTTAAAATGTTAGGTTTTCCATTAGGTTTTTCAATAAACCTTCAAGACTAGTACATAATATCAGTATTATCAACTGCATATTTAAGCTAGCACAATGGTTGCAAAAATGCATCTGCAAATGTACAGTTCCACAGCAATGCAGATTCGTATTGCAACTAATGAATGTAAACATTTCATACGCATGATGAAAATTTACATACTGTACTGTACATCCTCTGCAAACTTAACTAGCCAGTTGATAAAGACATCACTTACCTATATCTAATAAACACAAATAAATGCTCTTGAAGACACTCGGTTCCAATGCTCACATATATATATAGCAGACGTCTTAATGATAACTTTAAGAAAGTGGATGTGGTCCATTTAAAACAAATAGCAGCAGCCATATATAAGAAATAATGAATTGTAAACAAAAGCAACACAGAAAATCATAGTTTGTGAAATTTCATCATGTTAAAATATATATATTGTACTACACATAGTTACCACTACAGAACTATATCTTCACTACTAAGACTGAATGAGCCACAGTTACGAAATGACTTACCCCTCATTTCTGTGGGCCGAGGAATAAATAGGAACAGGGTAAGTTAACAATAGAAAACTGTAAAACAATTACACAAACACAGTACATAACATTATAAAAAACAACAATATTTTGTTAATAAACAATGCACCATTTAAAAAAAATAATGTGCCAGGTGAAGTGAAATGGCCATTTCTGAGCTATGGTAGCTCCCCCTAGCTATGGTAGCTCCCCCTAAGTATGGTAGCTCCCCCTAAGTATGGTAGCTTCCCCTAGCTATGGAAGCTCCCCCTATGCTGTGAATAAAACCAGGCAAACAATATACTAGGCTCATGGTGATCTTGACCTCAGAGATATAATTAACCTTGCAAACTACTTTGCTTTCTTCAAAACAGGGTAAGGAAGTAATGGAGTGATGAACGAACTGCTCATCATGATATGCACAAACCCTTCAAACCACTTGACACACACTGCAAATGACTCTCGGTAACTCAATCATCAATACTGTAATTTGTATAAATCAATGAGTACAGGTATTTACAACCCTTCACTAAATACATGAAAAATGCCGGAAGATAATTGAAAAAGGCAGCCGCAGTGACATGGAGAGCAAGAGAAAGATTCTAAAACTGTTTGGGGATTTTGATCAGTGAAATACAGTACACTGGTTATGAAGGGCTCATGGTGGAAATGATAAATAGAAGCAAGGTTAATAGACTCGGCAGAGGAACCACTCCCTGGTTCATGTGGCAACCTATCAAGGAACATATTGGAGAAATAAGACCTGTAGTTTTTTTTAAACTGAGGAATATGAATTTCACTTAAAATATGAGATGCCACTGGGAGCTAATGACCACTGCACTGTCACAGTTTGATAAAGAATTTAAGGGAAAAGGGAAAACTTAGGAAAACTGACCATTCACATGGTCAATGAATCGGCCACGAAAAAGTACTCTGCAGGAAATCGTTGAATCGAGCTCATCACCAAAGAGAAAGAACTCTCATCAATGTTTATGAGTCATAATGCATTAATGCACCCAAAAAACAAGTCTCAAAACAAGATGGTGCTCAAAACTTATGGTGGACTCTAATTTTATTAGTGAAATAACTTGATAGCAAAGATCTGTTAGAAAACAAGACCTTTAAAAGTCTTGTTGTGAAGGCATCACTCAAGAAAAATCTAATCACTTCAGTAAGCCTCAAGAGGCCCCACTAAAGAGCCATTGGTGGCTGATGGTCCTAGCACATTGGCCCCAAGGAAGGTAACACACAAACAATGTAAGCATGACTAGAATGTCAGTGGCACACAATCAGATTAGCCCCACTCCACAAAACGGCGACTCTTCCTGTTCGAGGACAAATGGGCATTAGAGGAAAATGACACTTATCAAGCACCAGATGTAAGAGCTTCTGCAAGACTGCCATCTGATGGTGATCGTGTTGCCCAGAGTTGTCAGTAGGGAGTGTCGAGTGGTTTGAAGAGTGTCCAATTGTAAATCTGTTCTCTCTCTTATATTGAAAAAAGCAGGACAGCTTGAACGGCTACTTATTTCTATGGGGCTAAACACCACACAGAGCTTTGTATATTTTCTGTACTTTTATCTGGTCTGTTCCAGAGCATATAGCTAGGAAAGATACTGAAAGGACCTTCCTCAAAATTTAATCACAATGACATTGTTTACATAATGCAAACATTTATAAGTATTAACAGAATAATATTAAGAGGTTGTCACTAACATTAAATGAGTTTTCAATTGAATTCAGAACAGCAATGCACTAATTTCATTTCCCCGTTTGTCTCAAAGTGTACTGCAGTTAAAGGATGAGAGCTATGCTCGTGGTGTCCATCTTCTGTAATTTTCATCAAATGTCTTTGATAGTGATGGTTTTGGCCTCTACCACTTACTTCCTTAAACTGTTCCAATTTTTGGTAGGGATTTCCCCTCATGGCATGGTGATTTATGGCATCCACTGTTTTACCCTTGCCTCTGTTGAAGGGGCACAATTTTATTCCCTGCTCCTGAGGTACCAGGGCATATGCTTAGGGAAACTTAAAAGGCCTCAAAAAGGGACATTTCATAATGCTCAAAACACTACTTTTGTATTGAAGGATGTAATTTACAGTGAAAGGGCTAATGGCCCTGCAGACACAATATCTGCTTGCAAAGATACCCATGGCACAAGTGCCAAGAATGCCACATGACTGTCTTGATTCTATCCCATAGGACACAGATTACACTTTACAGCCAACTAAATTAAAGCTTAAATTCTTTATTTGATTTCCCTTTATGAATGATCATTAAAAACATTTATGGATAATTTATGAAATCGCAATTTAGTTAACAACAAAGTATTGCCAAACCAGGTATATAATATTACACAATTCAAGTAACCCAAGCTTGGTTAATCAAGACCCAACCACCACAAGCAAACCCTTTTGCTCAAAATTTCCCACAAGCATCCTGAACAGGCCTTGTCATGTCTCATAGAACAGCTATGGAGTGTCTTTTACATGGGGGACTACTTATTTAGGGCCAATAAGTGACTGCTTCATTACACATGAGAACACATTCCACTCTTCCAGGATGCTACATTTTTTTAGGAAATGTGATTATATTTCAGCATGACTTTCTGATACGAAAGAGACTTCCAAATACATTTTTATGTGGACACTATCTCAAGGCAAGTCCTGCCAACACCCCCACGCATACCTCAACACCCACCTTTTTCAGCCAAGACCCAAATGTAAAGACCAATGCTACCACCACCAAGAACCACAACCAGTGAATATTGTTTTTTTAGTATGCTAATATTATCAAATGGGACCAAGATATACAGTTCCACTATACTGTGCTGTACTACTGTACTGGGTACAGTATTGTACATTGGAGAAAATCAATTCATACAAATAATATGCAGCATGTAATTTTTCTGAGTAAGGCTCCCTCACTCACTAAATATTTGGCTGCTCCAACAAGTGTGTGTGTGTTTTATAAACTTGACATCCTATTTTTTTATAATACTGTACTAAAGAGTGCAACCTCCAAAACAAAGATTAACTCCTATTGTACTATAGAACCAGTGTAGAATAGAACCAGTGAAGAGCAGAGGTGCCATAGGCACAATCAGAGAACACTGTATAAACATCAGAAGTCCGCGGTTGTTCAACGTCCTCCCAGCAAGCATAAGAAATATTGCCGGAACAACCGTGGACATCTTCAAGAGGAAACTAGATTTATTCCTCCAAGGAGTGCCGGACCAACCGGGATGTGGTGGGTACGTGGGCCTGCGGGCCGCTCCAAGCAACAGCCTAGTGGACCAAACTCTCACAAGTCAAGCCTGGCCTCGGGCCGGGCTTGGGGAGTAGAAGAACTTCCAGAACCCCATCAACCAGGTATCAACTAGTACTAGATAAGAGTTAACACCTGATATTCAAAGCATTTCATCTCTTTATGCTATTTTCACAGTTTTTTCTAGTGGAAAGTGATAGAATATAACCTTGTAAATATTTAAACAAATAATATATAAATGACAATTTTGAAATATAATCATAATGGCAACAACGTTAACTATATTTTCTGATCCATACCATTCAGTTAGCCCCTACGGCAAGATCTTGCTCATCTCTGAACAGTACCTGTAGCACTGCCAGCCACTTAACATTCCACAACTGAGAGATGGGGAGCTTTTTAAAGTATCCAAATCAAGTCATGTACTGCTAGAGAAACTCAAGACTATTTAATGTAGCTCAGAATGTAGATAGAAAAATACTTTCCATAAACCTAAAGACTTGTTCAAACCACAAATAGGCAGCATACAGATCACCAATCTGATCTGTATCCCTGGCAATCTACCCAACTAGTAGCAGATGGCAGTGCCACGCCACGCCACACAACACCCACCCATCATCATCTACAGCCTAAGAAAAAGAGGGTGGACATCCAATCCCAACCGTGTTAATAACTGGAAAGGAGTCAACTGACACTGATACCAGTCGATTATAAATCCAAATTGTACCAACTGACCAAATGTCAGATCCCTGCTCAACAGACAATTTGATGGCATGGAGGCAAAACCAGCTAGTTATAAGTCAAAACTTAGGTACTTAGAACTAAAAGATGGTGAAACACTACCCAAGTAAGAATGGTAATGATTCTGAAGCAAAGTTTAATCCAAATTTAAAAGCTTGAAAGTTACAGCGGATATTTCCCACTATGAGCCTTAGCAAAGTTGGACCTGAGGGTGACCAGGAATGTGGCAGTATCTCTCAGATCTAGGAAAACAAGCCAAAATCGACTCGACATTCCATTCACCATTAATTGGACTCGACACTGTATGTCAAACCTTGGAATCGAGAGATCGAAGATGTTGGACAAGGAATGGGCATTTTGAAAAGAAAAGGTCGAGGATAAACCAACAAACCAAAGTCATTCTTTGGAACCTATTTGAGCCCTATGGTGTCTCAACAATTGAGACACCATCCACGTTCTCTTCCAAATCAAGGGGAACCGTTCCAGTAATAACTAAATTCTAAAATTTTGAGTATTGATTGTGGAGGTTGCAATATAGCCTAAACTAATCACACAGTGCTCAATAAATTAATCTGACAAATATGAATACTTATGATTATAAATAAATACAGTACTTGAACAGTAATACCTGAACCCTACCCAAGTTTCTTTTTATCAATATTGTGCTCTTTGGTGACTTTTTCCATTTAATTCAATATATTATACATTTAATTAATTAGTTAAAAACACAAGAAGCCACCTTTCTACATCTGTCCTTTGATAGTATTAGCAGCAGCTCACACTAAGCAGTAATTTAGCCCATGTACATTGGTGTCATCTAAGTTAGAGGTGGGTGTCAGGAAAACTTTTTTTGTTTTACTCACAATAATAACACTCAGGACCAGAGCATGGAATTAGACCATTGTGAACTGTGATGTGGTCATAATCAAACTCCCAGTCACCTACAATCCAAAGGCAATGAATAGCTTTAAATGTGCCAATGATCAGGAAGCAATTTAAGATGTATAAAAATTAGTATATAAATATTAATGAGTAACTTCAATTTACTGTAGAATCAATGGCCATCTTAGAAAAGAAAACTTAAAAATATATAAATATTTTAGATAAATGTTAAATGTAAGTGACTTCAAAATTACTGTATTAAAACATATGGAAAACACTTTGGCACTTACTTATGTTACAACTGGGCCCAGAGTATCCAGCTTCACACCGACATTCGTCAGGTTTGATGCAGACCCCATGTATGCAATCCTGTGAGCAGATGGGGATGCATCGGTCATCAGCTGGTATTCTGGTGAAGCCTGAACAGCACACATCCACTGTGCGAGTCTTCGTTTGGCTCTGCAAGCATTACTTCATTACTAATTTTCAAACTATTTCCTATATGCTAGTATTGTACCGTATAACACAAATTACATGGAATGCAAGTATAACAACAAATGTTTATCGTCGCATATATTTGTTATATGGTGGAATCTCGATGTGGTTAAATCTTTTATTAACGGATTCTCTTGGTAGTTGCCCTTCGTATAGCAAGTTGAAATTATAATTTCACTCTGTGAAATCAGCCCATAGTGTTGGGAGTGTTTTTACTGTGTGTGCCTGCAGAAACGAGCTAAAAGCTCTTGGACCCTGTGTTTCTAACCTATGTATTTTTCCCTCTACAGTATTATGTCTACTACTTATATTTATTTTATTATTTTATTTTTTATTTATTTATGTACAAAAAAGTACATTGGGTTTATGAGAGTACAGAGCTTTGAAGTTTTACATTCTTGTAAAGCCACAAGCACGCATAGCGTTTTGGGCAGATCCTTAATCTAACAAATAATTTTAAGAAGGTAATTTCTAGCAAAATTTAAAAAAACAAAAATTTACAGGTACATTGAAAGAAAGTATAAAAATACATTGTATAAGAAATTTGACAGGATTAGTGGGGACATTAAAGTAAATTTAAGTGCAATCCACAGGTACATTGTAGCAAAATTTGAGGATTATTGCAAGGTATAATGCAGTAAACTGCATTATACCTTGTGTTTAGTATAACCACCATGATATAAGATAACAGCAAGGACTATATCTTGGATTGTAGTAAAATTGAGCCATTTAGAGATGAATCTAAGCTAACGCTGTATGATATGGCAACCTATCTTATTACCAAGGATAAAATACCTGAAATCCTTGCGCTGTATCCATATTTCGCTCCCAGTAGATAAATGACATACAAGATTAAGAAACTCGGTATTGTGAAGACTAATAATAAACAGCAGCTCCTCTATGGCTGTAATATCTCCATTGCTCAAACAATTATGTATTAGCGATAAGACCTACCATTAATGTATGACGACTTACTGTAAATATATAGCTCTTGAAATAGAACATTCTCTGTAACTAGCTGACATGTAACTATAAGGTGTGAAGGATAGATGAAATTGTTTATGTAATAATCCAAGATGAGGTCTGATAAAGACCTTTTGTGCCCTCTGTAATGCTTTTGTGCTACTGCTCACAGGACGAGTATGGGGGTGCACAATAAACTAGCTGCCTCCGATGGCAACAATCAAAAATCAAAAGCAAGGATTACAATGGTAAAGTTGTATGGCTTGGGTACATATGGTACATATATTGGGAGATTGGGTAGCACTAGATATCTAGTGTTTGTTTCAAGCACTAGGTAGGAGACTATGAAGATAAAATTAGGTACTTTTTGGTTTTATTTTTTGAATAAGGCAAAAGTTTGACAGTTTTTCAATTCGATACGGAGCGAGTTCCATAGACCAGGTCCCTTTATTTGCAGTGTTTTTACACAGATTAAGTTTGACTCTGGGAATATCAAAGATATATTTATTTCTGGTGTGGTGATTATGTGTCCTATTACATCTATCCAGGAAGAGTTTCAGAACAGGGTTTGCACTTAAGAACGGGTTTTGTAAATGTAATTGGCACAAGAGAATGTGTGGAGTAAGTTTATGTTTAGCACGTTTAGGGATTTAAACAGGGGGGCTGAGTATTGTCAGAAAGCAGAGCTTGTTATTGTTCTGAAAGTAGATTTTTGCTGGGTGATGATGGGCTTGAGGTAGTTTGCAGAGGTTAAGCCCCATGCACAGATACCATATACTGTATAAGATAAGATATATATTAGTGAGAGGAGTATTAGCGAGTATTAGTATAGTGAGAGGAGAGGAGAGCAGAGTTTGGAACATAATATCTGATTTTAGAGTGTACAGTATACAAACCATTTTTGAGACTTTCTTGGTTATGGGTTGTAAGTGGGTGCTGAAGTTGAGTCTCTTGTCTAAGTATAGGCCAAGGAACTTTACATCATTTTTATTGTCTATCTGAAGCTGAATTGCATTTGTTGTTTTGCTTCCAAATAAGATGCACTGTAGTAGGTCTTTTCTATGTTTAGTGCAAGTTTGTTGGTTGATGTCCATTAGTGATTTTTTTTTTAGTTCATTGTTTACAACATTATTTAAAGTGTATGGGATGGAGACTTAAGTAGATGAGGGTAGTATCATCAGCAAATAATATAGGTGTAAGAATGTTAGAGACATGAAGCAGATCACTGATGTATACAAAAAAATAGGAGAGGGCCTAGGATGCTGCCTTGTGACACTTCTACGATTAATTGTAGTATTTATATTAATGGTATTAATATTTCTTTCTAACACACGTACACACACACACACACAGTCCCAGGAAGCAGACCACAGCAGCTGTAACTCCCAGGTACCCATTTACTGCTAGGTGAACAGGGTCATCAGAGTGATAGAAAAATCTGCCCATTTGTTTCTATCTTGACAGGGAATCAACTACGACCCTCGAGGGCTATCCACTCAGCCTCGAGGCCCCATAATCCACAGTCTCCGTGGTGTAGTGGTAAGACACTCGCCTGGCGTTCCGCGAGCGCTATGTCATGGGTTCGTATCCTGGCCGGGGAGGATTTACTGGGCGCAATTCCTTAACTGTAGCCTCTGTTTAACGCAACAGTAAAATGTGTACTTGGATGAAAAAACGATTCTTCGTGGCAGGGGATCGTATTCCAGGGACCATAGGATTAAGGACTTGCCCGAAACGCTACGCGTACTAGTGGCTGTACAAGAATGTAACAACTCTTGTATATATCTCAAAAAAAAAAAAAAAAAAAAAAAAAAAAAAAAAAAAAAAAAAAAAAAAAATAATAATAATAATAATAGAAGGCCCCAACTCAGACAGACAAAAAATAATATAAAGTACTGTACTGTACAGCAGTTTCTTAGAAGGCTAGTCCCAGAATTAAGAGGGCCGAGCTAAAAGTATAAACTAAGGAGACTGAAACCAAATGACATGAGGGAGAAGTATACATTATTATAGGTGTGTAGCAACAGAGACAATGTGCATGGAGAGCCATTGGGGATGCAAGAAAACACCTCCCCAGAGTGACCACAATAAGGTGTTACAAAGTGTTAAGTTAAATAAATAGTAGTTTAATGCAGAGTACCTAAAGTGGATATGACAAAAAACAATAGGGTCGAGTCATTGCTTTCTATGACAAACTTGTACTGTAATAGCAGGACCCAGGAACTAAAACTCGTTCCTGTAAACTTGGTAAAAACTATCAGATAAGACCATGCATGCATATGAAAGCAGGATTGATGATCATTGACACTATTTTAGCTCTCTTGTCTTGTTGGACAAACATGGAAATTAATAAGACGTCAAAACATACAACATTAATAATGCATTACTTTGCCTGAATAGTAACATACCTGAGTTTTGAAAGAAGTTTTATAAGCTATCTTGTACTTTGAACATTTGGGCGGAAGACTGAAGCAGTACGTGTAGGTCCGTACTCTGTAAGCCTTTGTATAAGACACATTTACATAACTTGTGAACCTGAAACAATATGATTACATGTTAATATTAATATGTGAGTACAGGTAATGTACAAACTATGTTTTTACATCATACTAAACAACCTACACATATTATGTCACAATATTAGTGCCAAATAAGCCATTCAGTTATTTGTCTGGTTCCTATAGTCGGAGACAGGAAATCTGTTAGGCTTATCAAGGTCCCCGGCCTAAGCCAACGACTGACAATCCCCAGGATGCAACAGTAATCCAAGTCCCGGGTACCTAGCCCAACCACTTGGACTGGACGGTAGAGCGAGGGTCTCGCTTCATGCAGGTCGGCGTTCCATCCCCGACCGTCCAAGTGGTTGGGCACCATTCCTTTCCCCCGTTCTATCATAAATCCTTAACCCTTCCAGGTGCTATATAGTCGTGATGGCTTGGTGCTTCTCCTGATAATTAATTACCTTACCTCCCGGAAACTTATTTACTGCAAGGTGAATACTGTTACCAGATGACAGGCCAAACATCTCCCTCCTGCTACTGTAATCACCACTGCAGTACAGGTAAAATTGCCAGGGAGTCATAGTATTAAACAAATGTAAAAATTCAAGCCAAGCAAATTCCTAGGACCAGACTAAAGTATTTATCAGGGTTACAACAGAATGTAAATCGAGCTTTCTCAATCCCCATCTTTAATGAATCACTATAGTGTTGGGCAGAATAACAATAGTGGAGGGTTGTTAATATAGTACTGTACCGAAATAGAAGGGAAAACAAATCACTTGCAAAGGGATGCCTAATCAGCCAATTAGGCTGTGGAGAAGGGATGGGAGAAGAGGTTGGGGACGGAAGAGGAGAGAGAAGGAAAGAGGGGGGGGGGGGGGTGGACATCATTCATGCCTAGTGGTTGGGGAGGGGAAATTGGGGAAAGGGGGGGGGATATCACTCTCATTTACTTGGTAATAGGAAAGGGGGAGAGAGGGAATTATGAGAGGAAAGCGCCAAGTCATTACGACTATATAGCACTTGGAAGGGGTCGGGATAAGGATTTAGGATGGGACGGGGGAGAAAGGAATGGAGCCCAACCACTTGAACGGTCGAGGATTGAACGCCGACCTGCATGAAGGCGGCATAACTTACAAATATGCCAAAATATGCAATAAATAAAAACTAGTTCGATTTCAATCAAATTTTTTTTGCCTAGTTGTATATGAAAAGGGCTTCATCTGGTCCGAGTCTCAGCATCGTAACATAAATAGGAAGGGAGAAAAAAAGATTTAATTATGTGTCAACAATTTTCCAAAACGTTAAAAAATTATCATCAAACACAAGTGTCAACTGAAATCATGTCTATGACTCTCGGCTATCACAATAGCATATAATAAAATAAATTAATAATTAGTTTTATCCAATAAATTTTTTTTCTTATTATTTGTTTATCAGACGATTTGCATGAAACTTATACACCTGACTGCACGTAAGACTATCTGTAAGGGTGCCAATTTTGGAGGAAATTGGTTAATGGCAACCTCAGCCACAGATGACAGCACCTTAGACTTCATTTTTTAATTATTGCTTTTCAAGTACTGTAACATAAACGTAACTTCTACTCTTTCATTTTTTTATTCAATTTACATGAAACTTACACCTCATATGTAGAGTTTAATGTCTCTACAATCCGTATGAAGCGTTTTTTCTCCAAGCTCATTCATTAATTTCATAAATAGTAATAAACATGATATATTTGCATAATTTTGGGGGGGGAACTTTGACGATTTGTATTAGTAAAACTAAACATATTTTGGAAAATCCGGTCATATAGATCCTTTATTATATGCAAATGTGATAGAAGATTGTCACAGAAATGATTTCATTTGAAACTTGTAGTTGTAGAGGTTTATTGAAAATGTGTAAAATTCGTTGAAAAAACAAAAAAAATCTCCCTTTCTATTTAGGCTGCTATACTGAAACTTGGATCAGTTGCACCCCTTTTCATATATGCAACTAGTCAAAAAAGATTGGTTGACATTGAACTTACAATAAACTAAATTATGCCCCCTGAAGGGAGACCGTCTCTCTACCGTCCAGCCCGAATGGTTGGGCTGGGAAAGGGGAAATATCACGTCTCCTGCTATGTGAGGGGAAAAAGTGGATGTACCACTTATTTCTCCTGCTATGTGAGGGGAAAAGTGGGAATACCACCCACGTCTCCTGCTATGTGAGGGGGAAAAGTGGGAATACCACTCACGTCTCCTGTTATGTGAGGGGAAAAGTGGATGTACCACTTACGTCTCCTGCTATGTGAGGGGGAAAAGTGGGAATACCACTCACGTCTCCTGCTATGTGAGGGGGAAAAGTGGGAATACCACTCACGTCTCCTGTTATGTGAGGGGAAAAGTGGATGTACCACTTACGTCTCCTGCTATGTGAGGGGAAAAGTGGGAATACCACTCACGTCTCCTGCTATGTGAGGGGAAAAGTGGGAATACCACTTACGTCTCCTGCTTGGTGCACACGTTGGGTCCAGAGAGCGCCGCCACAGTGGAGGGCAAGACTGTAACGCCCACCACCGCAGCCGCCCACACCGCCCACACCCCCGCCCACATCCTCTTCGCCTCACTGTTGCTGCTGCTGGTGCTAGTGCTGCTGTAGCTGCTGCTAGGGCGTTAGCCTTCCTTTCATGCCGTCGGTAACACCTGAAAGGCCGTATTAGGTAAATAACTTACATTCCAATACAGAGTGAATACATACAGAAAATATAAACCACACATAACAACCGCTACATAATTATTATAACACTCGGGTTTTGTAGCATTGGAGAAAGTTCAACACAGCAACAAAATTCATTCCAGAAGCAAGTCGACTCTGATACCAGGAACTGTTTAAGGCCACAGGACTAACACCACGGCAAACCAGACATTACAGGGCTGATCTCATCGAAACTCATAAAATACTGAAACTTTTTGGAGAGGTTATCTTGAGATGATTTCGGGGCTTTAGTGATCCCGCGGCCCGGTCCTCGACCAGGCCACCACCCCCAGGAAGCAGCCCGTGACAGCTGACTAACACCCAGGTACCTATTTTACTGCTAGGTAACAGGAGCATAGGGTGAAAGAAACTCTGCCCATTGTTTCTCGCCGGCGCTTGTTGCATATTTTATGAATGAATATTATTGAGAAAATCAACTGGAGCTCTTAGGTGACTGGAACCCGTATTCAACGGCCTGCCAGATGCCACCTCTACCACTGTACCACCCTGACCTATTATAACTTGTACAACCTGGGATTCTACTGAATCGTGTTATATACATATCACCTTAGTGTGATTTCTGTATAATAATTATTATTAATATTATTATGGTCGTAGCCTCATCGAAGACGCTGCCAACGGATCACGTGTATGTGAACTTGTTAGTGAGAATAATTGTCATCCTTAGCTCATACACCAACCATTTGAAAATAATATCCCGGAACATTCACCCGCACCTCAAACACACACTATTTACTACACATTTGTGCGAGAATCATATCACTGAAGTAACCGCTTACCGTGAACCCGACGCCTGATCTCAACACCAGAAGCTCATATAGAAAGTTGCCGAATGTAAGAACACAAACATCTGAACATGGAAACTTTCGAGTCTATTCTACGATGAGCCCATTACTTCACTATGCAGCACCAACGTGGAATCAACACCTTGTGTAGCACAAAAGGAAGCCTGATAAAGTACAGAAGTTTGCAAGTGACTATAGCACCATAATTAAGAGTTGTTAAGAGAGTTGGGATAGGACAAAATATAGGAACAGTCTTTCCTTATGGGAACAATCTTAGGAAAAGAGACGAAACAGAATATGATCACTGCATACAAGATACTGATGGAAATAAGACAGGAAATAAGGCACGATGGGGAAAAAAAACGCCTATTTAAACTGAGGAGAAGGTAAGACAAAAGAACATTAGTGGAAGCTAAACACACAGTTCAACTGTAGAGATACAAGGAGATTCCCGTACCCTATATATGGGTGGTTGGCAAGTGGAACGCATTGTCAGAAGTTGTCCGAGCCACTATTATTCACAACTTCATGAAAAAGTACGCTACAACTTTAACGTCAAGAGAGGTAACAAGCACACCAGCTATACGAAGTCTGAACACGTACTATATGTGGAATAAATTTTATGTAACAACTATTCAACAACTGCATCGTGTTCTGTATATATTTTTAATATTATTATTACTACTACTACTGCAGATCTCAATCATTAGACGTGAGGTAAACTATAATAAAGTGTAATGTGTTCTGTGAATTTATCTGCAAATGATATAAATATTTACATTCTTTAATTACAAAAATTATCAAATGATTAACATAAAATAAATCGCGATGCACGTTTACCACATCATTAAAACTGACAAAATGCTTACCTCACGAATGTGCGTTCAACTTACTGCCTGAATTCGACTATGTAGCACCAGATAAATAGATATAGATATAGATTTATATAGATATAGATTTATATAGATATAGATTTATATAGATATAGATTTATATAGATATAGATTTATATAGATATAGATTTATATAGATATAGATTTATATAGATATAGATTTATATAGATATAGATTTATATAGATATAGATTTATATAGATATAGATTTATATATAGATTTATATAGATATAGATTTATATAGATATAGATTTATATAGATATAGCTTGACATAGAAAATATTAGATGAACAGTCACCAAATTTCCAAATAGTAATTCATTTCAAGACAGAGGCCAAGACAGATATGCAAAACAGCCCCACTCAGATGCTGGGGTGAAATAATTACAACAACAGAAATACAAAGGGTCCAAGAGATCTTTTTAATATCCTCTAAATATACGAACTACCAAAATACCCCCAACAGTGTTCAGGCGGGAACCTGTTAAATGCCCACAAATGATACAATAATCTTTGAGGCTGTATACACCTGTGACCAAACTGTTGTTGTGAGCTCCTTGCGTATGACAAGAGTCGTACGCCTTGCGTATGACAAGTGTTATATGCAAAGGCTCACAAATGTCAGTCAAATGAGGCTTCTGCTCACGTTAAGCATAGTATTTCAGGTGAATAGTGTGCTGTATTCGTGTCCTAGTGTTGAAAAAGACGATCAAGTCCCATTTCAAACCTCGTGAGCTATGTCGACAGAGTTCGAGCCCTGGACAGGGAGCGATAAGGTCCCGATACTCAACTGTCCGCCCCCCCCCCCTCTTCACGCGGCAGTAATTAGGATATGTTGCAAGAGTGCGAGCGGAAGGCGCAAGTTAACCGCTTCGTCAGGAAGCATCTATATGCAACGCTTGCATGCACTGCAACACTTTTCAAATTACTAACAAGTCTAAGCAAACTTACACTGTATCAGAAGGCAGACATAAACCATGATGCCGGCATAGCAACACCCCCCCCCCCACCCCGTGCTTCTGAAAGCGACCTCATTATTCCACCTGTACGTTGTTTAACCACACGATGAAATGGTGATGAATTCGAGATCAAAGTTTGCCCTTGAGCACAGCATTGTTGCACTTGGATTAGTTCAACAACTCGGGAGCAGTGCAACATTATCCAAGTTGGCAAATATGGCAGCAGGGAAGGCTTGCTGTTGGTACTGGCTTTCATATTTAAAGTGACCGTTCGTCCCTTAATGACCATAAAAAGTTATTTTAGTGCTATTATACATGGGCTTTTGTGCAAGGATATTTTGTGCGCGCACCCACCCACCCACACTCATGTCTCGAGTTGATAGAACAATTTTATGTGACAAAAGCGACTGAGAAGAACCCCCCCCCCCCCCACCTCCCGCCTCAGAAACCCGGCGGCTTGTCAAAGAACACCCCCCCCCACCCACCTTTTTCCTGTTTACTCACCAGAAACCATTTGGGATCAGCAAGAGCTTGGCACAATACTAAACAACAAACCATTATGGAGCGTGGAACAATGTAGCTGGAAGTGTTTTGTGCGTGAATCACAAGAAGAAACAATTGAGAGCGTAGCGGCGGCCAGTGACTGAGGGGGGGGGGAGGTTCGTCATCACTGGACGTGGTGCAAGTGTTCTCAGAGCCGCCGGCCCTCGCTCCTCTCCTGGCTAGGCAGCCTCTCGTCCCCTGCCTCTCTCCCTCCTGGCTAGGCAGCCACTCGTCCCCCTGCCTCTCTCCTGGCTAGGCAGCCACTCGTCCCCCTGCCTCTCTCCTGGCTAGGCAGCCACTCGTCCCCCTGCCTCTCTCCTGGCTAGGCAGCCACTCGTCCCCCTGCCTGCCTCCTGGCTAGGCAGCCACTCGTCCCCCTGCCTCTCTCCTGGCTAGGCAGCCACTCGTCCCCCTGCCTCTCTCCTGGCTAGGCAGCCACTCGTCCCCCTGCCTCTCTCCTGGCTAGGCAGCCACTCGTCCCCCTGCCTCTCTCCTGGCTAGGCAGCCACTCGTCCCCCTGCCTCTCTCCTGGCTAGGCAGCCACTCGTCCCCCTGCCTCTCTCCTGGCTAGGCAGCCACTCGTCCCCCTGCCTCTCTCCTGGCTAGGCAGCCACTCGTCCCCCTGCCTCTCTCCTGGCTAGGCAGCCACTCGTCCCCCTGCCTCTCTCTCCTGGCTAGGCAGCCACTCGTCCCCCTGCCTCTCTCTCCTGGCTAGGCAGCCACTCGTCCCCCTGCCTCTCTCTCCTGGCTAGGCAGACACTCGTCCCCCGTCCCTCTCTCTCCTGGCTAGGCAGCCACTCGTCCCCCTGCCTCTCTCCTGGCTAGGCAGCCACTCGTCCCCCTGCCTCTCTCCTGGCTAGGCAGCCACTCGTCCCCCTGCCCCTCTCTCCTGGCTAGGCAGCCACTCGTCCCCCTGCCCTTCTCTCCTGGCTAAGCAGCCACTCGTCCCCCTGCCCCTATCCTGGCTAGGCTAGACTCGTCCCACCTGCTCTTGCTATTGAGCCTCTCGTTTTAAAACTAATTTAGGCTTGCCATCAGAGTTCTACGGCGTCCACCCAACATCTAGAACCACATAACCCTGAGACTTCGGTCATATTAACCTCGTGATTGAATGCTTTAGATTATTTAGCACTTCCTTTAATATTTATTCTGTGTATGAGTAAAATGGCGGCTCACGAACTTTGTTTAGAACCTTCAATTGTAATCAGTCTGCGTCTCAATGCATTGCCGTCGTTCAGTACCGTTAGCAAATTTATTATTGTTGCAGTTCAGTCTTGTACCAATGTCATTTAGGTCAATAATGAACGACAGATATTCCAAGACTAACTCTGAGGCACTCCACTTGCATCCCTTAATCAGGGATGCAAGCAGACTGAACCTAACAGACTGAACCTTATATTTATCCTGACCCCCTCTCAGAGTTGCAGCTGTGCTGTCATCCACTTGAAGTTCTCCTCCAATACCATGTGTTTTTCTGAAACCAACACAAGGTAATCTACGTTGAAGTTACCTTGAGATGATTTCGGGGCTTGCCGTCCCCGCGGCCCGGTCGTTGATCAGGGCCTCCTCGTTGCTGGACTTGTCAACCAGGCTGTTGGACGCGGCTGCTCGCAGCCTGACGTATGAGTGACAGTCTGGTTGATCAGGTATGCTTTGGAGGTGTTTGTCAAGTTCTCTCTTGAACACTGAGGGGTCGGCCAGTTATGCCCCTTATGTGTAGTGGAAGCGTGTTGAACAGTCTCGGGCC